ATAATTTGTTGTGTGGTAATCAAAGCTTACTTATGTTGTTTTACTGTAAATATTTAAACACTTATAAATATGCACAATCAGAGATTGGAACTTTTTGTTGACCTTGTTTTGAGATGGGTCTTTGTTTTTGTACTTTGTAATTTATTTTTTTGTAGCACTCCATGTTGTACGCCATGTTGAGTATGTTCAGAAGAATATAAAGCCATATAAATAATAAATATTTGATATACTGTATATTTTTTACATTCGTAATTCATTTTACACATAATTTTACATTATTTTTGGGAGTAAACTAATTTAAGCAACAAAAAAACTGAGGAGCCATTTGGGAGCCGAAAGAGCCGGCCCTTTTTAGTGAGCCGAGCCAAAAGAGCCGGAATTCCCATCACTAGTGCGAACATGTCCGCTCGCGCGCGTCTTTTGGCTCCAACCAATCGGCGCTGACTCAACGGACGTTACACATCAAAGAGCTTTGAGCTACGACAACAGCTAAGGTAGTAAGTACGGTATGTACAATGTACATACTTACTACCTTAGCTAACCTTTTTTTACACTCATGTACATGAGTGTAACATTGTCTAAATAAATTTGTAAATGTGTATAAATGTGTGTTTGTGTGGATGTTGAAAGGAGTGTAAAGGCTCAGTGTAAAGGCTCAATTTCGACCAACAGAAAATGTTTCAGTTTATTTATACGTGAATTCTACTCTCCGTTCCTATTCAAGAAAATGATCTGTGAACTACAATAAAACCCACCTGAAATAAAGTATTAATTTGTCGCTAGTCGTTTTCAATAAAGAGAGTGCCGCTAAGATGATGAGAAGTCTCCAGTTCAACTCAGAACAGAATGACAATTGAAAAATGAGAATTGAAAAATGCCCCCGACAGCCAAGAAATTACTTATTTTATAATTTTATTAATTTCTTTTAACCCAAACAAATGACGTTTATGCATTCGTGAAGGCGCTTTTATTTTGAAGGTGGCCAACGCCGCTCGCTGGCGGCAGACTACCGTAATGCAGAGCACTGACAATCACAGTGGCGGCTCACTTGACTTCGATTTTGCGAGTCGAGGCTGGCTTGACCGCAGTAAACAAACAACCGCAATCCAACCCCTTCAAAGGTCAAGTGTGAAGAAACTTTAGAAAACCCGAAATAGAATATTTTTGTCGCAAGTAATTAAACAAAAATACAATAAATAAAGCTTGTGAAAATAATTTATAATTCTTAAATCCGACAAAGTAATCATTCCCCCGAAGTGAGATCCTTTTTTTCTAACTTTATTAACAGATTGTAGATAACAGAAGCATCGCGTGTGAGAGATATACACATTAGATATCACATTCACCAAAAACATTTTAAAATGTAAAAAGAAATAAATACCAGGGGTCCTAAATAAAAATTGAGAAAAATTGAAGATATTAAAATGGAAACATAATTTCAAGGTTTTCACACCTTTCTTATTTTTACAGCCAGATATAGAACAAAAAATACATCCTTTTTTTCTAACTTTAGTAACAGATTGCACATAACAGAAGCACCACATATGAGAGAAATACAAATTAGATATCACATTAAGCAAAACCATTTTAAAATGTAAAAATAAATAAATATCAGGGGCCCTAAATAGAAATGAAGAAACATTGAAGATATTACAGAGACGAACAACAGCGGTGTATCAAACTCACACATGGAACACATTTGCAAAATCCGTTGTGAACTATGGTCTCGTGGAAGAAAGTATTGACTATGTAATTCATGCCAGTTGATCCCAGTCACCTTAAGAAAGGATTTTATGAAACAAGAAATATCCAACATTATTACAGGGGGATTGAACGTGAGACCTCCGCGACCAAACACTAGAACTTCTGTTTTCTGTTCGTTGAAGTTCAAGCACTTAAGTGCCATCCAAGATTTCTTCCGGAAAGGCCAAAAGTGGCCTTTTGCGATGCAAGACATAGATCTGACTGCCATTACGGCATCGCAATGAAAAGAATCGCCATGATTTCCAAAAACTCATTCACTGCCATTGACAAGTAGACTTGCCAAGTACGTTTTTTTTTCAACTGGGATGTCGTGGGGAAGCGTCTGATGCCACTGCACTGTAAATTTCAAACTTGGAAACAGCTTTACTGATGCACAACTACCAGTAGATGACGTTGATGTCCCATTTTTGCTTTGAGATCACCACCGTTTGTAAGCTCCCTGCAGGGGCTTGCAGAAGGCGGGGCCAATGGGGCAGTGAGCCCTGGCCATCCAATTGGCACTGTGGCTCAACCCCCACCCCGGGTCGACAAAAATGTTGGCCATTAGGTGCATGTTGCTTGGCGGATCAATGATAGATTTATGTGCATGTTGAACGAAAGTCCTGCTGGGATAGAGGGGGCATATACTTCGAGTAAGGTCAGACCCCCAAACGCTGCGAATCTGAAAATATGCTGTAAAATTTGACTTGACATTGCACATTGGTATTGAAAACAAAGATAACAAGAGTGATTCAACATTTTATTACTTTGTAACATGCATCCATCCATTTTCATGTCTGCTTATCGTTCACAAGCGTTGTGGTGGGTGATGGAGCCTATCCCTGCTGGAGCCTAACCGTGCTGCCCCTGAACTGGTTGCCAACTAATTGCAGTGGCACACATAGACAATAAACATTTACACTCACAATTGAGAGTGTTCCATGAACCTGACATGCTTGTTTCTGCGCAGTACCCGGAGAATCCCCACACAGGCATGGGGAGAACATGCACACTCCCATCCTATAAGGCTGGAGCTCAGATTCAAAACCTGGACTGCTAACCAGTCATGCGTGCTGCCTGTTTTTGAACAGAGGAAGTCCATCCATCCATTTTCCGATCCGCTTTATCCTCACAAGGGTCGCGGGGGGTGCTGGAGCCTATCCCAGCCGTCTTCGGGCAGTAGGTGGGGGACAACTGAACCGGTTGCCAGCCAATCGCAGGGCACAAAGAGACGACCAACCATCCGAGTTCACACCTCGGGACAATTTCGAGTGTTCCGTTAACCTCCCATGCATGTTTTTGGAATGTGGGAGGAAATGGAGTACCTTGAGAAAACCCACGAGGCCTGGGGAGAACATGCAAACTCTACACAGGTAGGTCATAGCCCAGAATCGAACCCTGCACTTCTGCACTGTGAGGCCGGCGTGCTAATCAGTCGACCACCGAGCCGCTGCCTCTTGAAATTTAAATAATATGGAATTGTGCTCCCACTAAGGCGTTAACATCATTGGTACTTCCAAATGAGCATGATCAAAGATGACAGTTGATTGCTGCTTTGACCCGGTGGCGGCGCGGTTAAACTGCTAAAATTCACGTGGGCAGTCTGTGAAAAGTTTTCATGCTTGTTCAAATTATTAAAACATTGGCAACACATTGCGATTGGCTGGCAACCGGTTCAGGGTGTCCCCCACCTACTGCCCAAAGACAGCTCCGATAGACTGCAGCACGCACCGCGACCCTTGTGAGGAGAAGCCGATCAGAAAATGAATGGATGGATGGACATCAATGATATTGGAATTGGTGTTGCGTCATGCATCTCGACAAGTGTCAAAGAAGGGTATTTTGAATTCTTCTGTTTGCCGCGGTGGGTTTTACCCAAGCGTGCTTTAATACCAGCACACTGTAAAAGGGAGGATATTTGGGGTTGTGTAATTCATTTTTAGCATTGCTGACATTGATGTTGCTCGAGAGCTTTTCGTGCTGACCGTGTGAATGTGTGCCATGTTGGTTGCATTGTAGAAAGAAAGCTTCTGGGACGGGAGGTCCAGATAGATCCCGATCTTTCGTGGGATGCTCTGGAGAGTTAGCGGAGTTACTCCCTCTGGACAACCAGTGGAAAGATTTCCACCCTCATATTTGAGAATATGATCCTGTATGCCCACTTCCCAAAAGCCAGTTTGGCCAATCTGGCCCACCTCTATTTCCCAGTAGTGCTGCCCTGAAGTGAACACATTCGCACTGGTGGCAAATCCATGATACCAAGTACTGAAACATTTCAGGAAGGACCATGATGGAGGGTTTTTTTGAGGCTCTGGCTGCGAAAGATTCCGTGAGGCCGTGTATCTCGGTTGTCGGGGAAATGCAGATTGACTTTGAACGTCGGTCCTGTGGAGCACACTGCGTCTGTCCACAGACAGATTGGTCTGGGACTCCTCCCCTTTGAGCTTGAGCTGCACTTCTCGAGGCTCGATCACCTGAAGCATCTCTTTCCATACAAAAAACTTGAGGTGACTCTCATAAGGTCCCAGGGAAAGCGAGGTTTCCACGACCGAGAGATCACTTGCTTTTGGTCGGGATGCTCCTTGAAGCATGACGTTGTTGCCTTTGGCCCAGCCCTTGAGAAACGTCTCGGGGTCGGAAATTGCCAGAACGGAGACAGCCTTAGCCTGCAGGGCTCTACTCTGGGACAGCTCCGCCTCGATAGCATTCAGCATCTTGGTCATTTGCTCCACGTCAACGTTTTGTTGCCGTGTCACCTCATTCTTCAGCTCCTCCTCTCTTTTTCGCAAAAACTGGTGCAGCTCCTCAAACTGCGCACTGATTTGGCTCCCCAGTTGACAAGACCTGTCCTGAGTTGCATTTATATTTTCCCTCTGAGTGTTTAACAACCGCTCCAAAGTTTTAATGTCTCCAGGAATGCGGTCCAGTCCCTTTTCCAGCTCCCGCTTCAGAGATGCGCTTGCTTCCTTAATGGGTTTGAAAGTGTGTCCTTCATGTCGCTCGCCATCTCGACATATGATGCAAGTCAGCTGCTGGTCGGTCACACAGTATAGTTTCAGCTTCTCATCGTGCTCCGGACACATGTCAGCAACCTGTCGACAAAAAATGTTTGGATGACTAACACGGCCACAAGAAACATATTTGAAAGAGCAATTCTTCTGCACTGTATTGCCCGTTTTTTTTGGTTGCAATGTTTTTCGACTGCTGTCAACGCCGTCACAGCCGGTTGCTGCCATGTTGACGTTCATTAACAACGGTTGGAAATTTAGTGGAGTTTAATGAAACGCAATGAAGAATGACCTGAAGAAATAATCGGACCGCTTGTTCAACGGTGCAGCAACTCGGTGGCTTAAAGCTTGTGTTTAGCCGCGACACACACTATATTGCGGAAGTTTGGATCCACCAGTTATTCTCAATTCGGGCGTCTGGACCCAAAAGTGGGTGGCGGACACCGAGTGAAAAATGACATGTATTCTTATTTGGATTCTTCCAGAAAACTACAGCGGTGTATCAAACTCACACATGGAACATATTAGCTAAGCAAGAAGAAGTATTGCGGCCATGTCCAGCTCCATTCCTCGATGTCTTGCATGTTTTGTATGTCTCCCTATTCCAGCACACCCGATTCAAATGATGACAACTCCAGTTTCTTTCATTGATACACACTTTAAGATTTAGAGTCTTTCGCCTATCATGTCTATCGCTGTGTCCAAACTCACAGGCTGGGTCCTCCAAAGGCCGCATTTTCGGACACATGACATCACGGTTTATGTGGTCGACAGGGGCTATTCAATGAGGAGTAGCTTTCGGCATCAAAAGACTCAGTTTGTGATTTTTGGATTTCCACAGCGTGTTTTGTTTGTTTGTTTTGCATTTGTTTGGTGGCTTGTAATGTTTACTTCCACGTTGTTGTTGTGTTTGCAGCAGTTCTTTCTTGCTTTTGTGTGTGTCTTCCTGCATTTATGTTTGGGTTTGTTTGTTTGTTTGTTTGTTTACAAAATTCCTTTGTTTGCTGTTGGGGGAAGAGTGGCCTTCTCTTCCCCGCGTGTTCGTTGAATTTCGGACGAGGAGAATGTTTGTAATCCAAATAAAGGCTGGAGTCGATGAACAGTTCCTTCGAAGCTTTTAATAACGGAATATTACGGGCACCCGCGAATTACAGACAATGGCTGCGCGTCACGAGTGCGAAGCAGGAAGAGATTCACATCATTTTTATACCATCAGAAGGGCGGTACCGAGACACAAAGTGTGATATCACAACTTTCGTTTCTCCTAAACCGATTCTCAGTTTGGCGCATTCCAAAGTTTGTGCGTCTTCAGTAGGGAGTATTCCAATTCTACGTGATGCTTGTTACAAGGACGCCAGGCTACACTGCGGGCATGGGAAAGTTATACAGCATGACTGAATATGAGCAGAATACAGACTTCATTGCGGAGTTCAGCGGTTTACAGCGCGTTTGCCCCTGTCCGCCACGGTATGGAACGACCCGGGAAGAGGAAAATACAAACTTTTGCTTCCTTCTGCAACCTTCTCTAATTTAACACTTCATACAGAGTCGATGCTCTTGAGACTATACGCTTTATTTGATCGTCGAAGATAATCAAGATCAAATCAAAGGCGAGACGGAGAAAATAACACAATCGACATATCACAAGTAAAAAGCGTGGTGAACGCTGACAATGAGTGAATACTTGCCCTGGCATACTTTACCTCAGCCTTTGCTGTAATGTGCTCTTTGTCGATCACGTCTGTTTGTTTGGCTTTTTCAGCAAGACTGAGCAAGACGAAGTTGGTACATAAATCTTCTGACGTGCAAGCGTCAGCGAGCGACGCCCTGCATTGCGGACACTGGTGCTGTGTGTCCCAAAAGCATATCAGACATTTTCTGCAAAAAGAGTGGCCGCAGAGAAGAGTGACCGGATCGGTAAAAATTGTCAGACAAATTGAACAAGTCAAATCGTCTGTGAAAGAGGCAGAAGCCATTTCTGTTCACTTCCTTCTCGACGCGGAACCAGGAAACAAACAACCCCAATCCAACCCCTTTCAGGGTCAAGTGTGAAGTAATTTTAGAAAATCCCAAATGGAATATTTTTGTCGCAAGTAAAGTAATTAAACAAAATACATTAAATAAAGCTTGAAAAAATAATTTATAATTCTTAAATCCGACAAAGTAATCATTTCCCCGAAGTGAGATCCTTTTTTTCCTAACTTTATGAACAAATTGCAGATAACAAAAGCATCGCGTGTCAGAGAAATACACATTAGATATCACATTCAGCAAAAACATTTTAAAATGTAAAAAGAAATAAATACCAGGGGTCCTAAATAAAAATGAAGAAAAATTGAAGATATTAAAATGGAAACATAATATCAAGGTTTTCACAGCTTTCTTATTTTTAGAGCCAGATATAGAACAAAAATATACATCCAACTGTTTCAGCAACACACAAAAGATGGGGTTTGTCTTTAAAAACAAAGTGAGATCCTGACGAGCGTCAAACCCGAAAGTGTGATGTCACTTCAAGGATAACAATAGCAGGGCTCACTATGGGAAATGTAGTATACAAAGCCAGTCAGATATTATTTCTCATGTGTTCTTTTCTGTAAAATTCGTGCTAAATTTGCCATTTGCTTTATATTTGTTTGTTTATAAATTGTTTTATTTATCTCAGTTTGACATTTTTTAGTTTTGGGTTCTTTTGGTTTGGGGTGAATGTTCCATTTTCTTTGGAGTGTTATGGGGCAGCCATAATGATATGTTTTCAGCGTGTGTTTATTTTTGTTTGACAGGTGCTGAGGGCGGGCGGCCTGGTGATCCAGTGGTTAGCACGTCAGAAGTTGTGGGTTCGATCCCGGCTACGGCCTTCCTGTGTGGAGTTTGCATGTTCTCCCCGGGCCTGCGTGGGTTTTCTCCCACATTCCAAAAACATGCATGGCAGGCTGATTGAACACTCCAAACTGTCCCTAGGTGAGTGTGAGCGCAGATGGTTGTTCTCTCTGTGTGCCCTGCGATTGGCTGGCAACCGATTCACGGTGTCCCCCGCCAACTGCCCAAAGATGGCTTGGATAGGCTCCAGCAGCCCCCCCCCCCACCCCGCAACCCTTGGGAGGACAAAGCGGATCGGAAAATGGATGGATGGATGGATGGAGGTGCTGAGGGCCCCGATGCGGGTGGTGGACACTTTTCAAGTTTTGGTTTGTTGTGTCATGGGTGCTGTGTAGTTTTTTGGATCCTCCCCTCATTTTTTAACGTGTCACGGTTCGGTTTCTGGTCTGACCAGCAGGTGGATGTGCGGTCTTCTGTGCACACCTGCTGCCAATCCAGTCATTATGGGACTATGTATTTAAGGACTCTGCCTCAGTTCACCTGTGTCGGAGTATTGTTTATTGCCTTGCTGTTTCCATGCTCTCAGACCGCTTTTGCTATAGACATCATCGTGTTCACGCTTTTGATACTCTCTGTAACATTGTTCTTGTAAATATGGCTTTGTTTTGTGAATTGGCTTTTTCTTGCGTGTAGTTGATACATAGTTTTTCGTTTGTATTCTCGGGACTAGTTTTCCTCACTTGCCTTTTTGTGCAAGCGCTTTTTGTTATTCGTTTTTTTTTGTTTTGTTCTTCCTGGTCCTTGTTTGGACCAGCGCTTTATGTTCTACTTTGTTCGGTGCGAATTTCTGTATTAAACATTTTTGTAACGGAGACCTTGTTGAAGTTTACACTTTTGGGATCCAAACTTAATTCGGCTTGTCCGAAACCTGACATAACGTTGTCATGGAAAGCCCCAGCCCTGTCTCGTTTTCCCCTTTCATTGGCAGGTTTCATACCACTCCCCATCACTTTATTTAGTCTGCCTCTGATTTTAATTGCTTCTTAATAAAGTTTGTTCATTTCTGGTCCATTTTCGTGCCCTTTTCAAACAGCTGTTTATCTGAATGTGATCAGTGGATTGCCGCACAGCGCCGAGGCATTTCCCCGAATAACTCGTAACAACAACGAAGAGCAATTAACGGGACAATCAACAATGCAGTGCAATGGTTGACTAGCGACCAGTGTTGTGTCCGAGGACCGGCAACCTAAGGCCAAGGACTTGACTCCAAGGCCAAGGCAAGGCCAAGGACTTGGAAAATTTTCCAAGGCCAAGGCCAAGGACTTGAGGAATTTTCCGAGACCAAGGACTTGCCTCCGAGGCCAAGGCCAAGGACCGAGGACTGATTTTGAATACTAAGAGGAGTCAAGCGAAAAGTCTGCTTTAAAAAAATATGCAGATAAGCATGTTATACACGGCGATCGAACAAATTTATTTTCATAATGATCACGTAAGTAAAGCAACAGCTGCGATAAAAGTAATATTTTGGGCGATAAAATAGCCAAACATGATTTATCACGATAATTAATGATATCAGTAGCAGATATTATAAGCAGATGCAGTAGCAGATGCAGGATAAGGAGCAGATTCAGGATAAGGAGCAGTAGCAGGTAGCACGTAATAACCTAAAGTAAACAAATGCAATTTAATGAATATATGTACCTTAGGCATCACAATGTAAATGTGTATAGCAGTGATAATTTTACAGTTTACCCCCAGTGAGTCCCAGGGACTCGCTGATCAGAAAGGTATGAGTCCCTTTATGCATTTAGAGAGTCCCAAATTTTGAATTCTGAAATGGTGTACTTATTCAATTGCATATGATAATAACACAAACAACAACCTATACATACAATTATAAACAAATGCTGCAAAAATTTAAATAATTTAGTAGCAGGCCTGAGGATTTCGGAAATTCATGGTAACCGTTTTTCGGTTCCGTCGGATTACCCAATGGGAAACCACGGTAACTAATTTTGGGTTCATCATGGGAACCCATTTTTCTATTTTGACTGGTTCATAACCATGCTACAACCAGTAAATTATACAATAACAAATACTGTTTCATAATATTTTTCATAGCGATTAACCTATATATCTAATGACCACGTAATCGTGCCTCCCGTCGTATCTCGCTCTCGTGTTCTGTGCATATGTTACAGGTGAGTTTAGTGATACGCCCTTCGGACGATTCATACGAAAAATCAGACTGGCATTCCCATTTCTTAAATGTCGTAATTCGTAGACCTTTGCGAGTTTTTTTCGCCGCCATCTCAAACTTTCATCCGCGCGATTCCTCAGTTTTTGGACTAAAATAGCAACACGCATGTGCACATAACGTTATCTGTTCCGTCCCCCCAACACTGAAAATAAAACAAAACGAAAGTAAATTAGAAGAAACACACTCACACACCACAAACACCCATACAGACACAGTGAAATCGCGTTGATTACACAGGAGAGACTTGATCGCGTACAGTTAACTCGTGTGCGGTGACTTTTATGGTTAAACGATTTTTCTAGTCCCGTCAAAATGACGCCACGGAAACGACACGAGAAACGATCGTGACCGTGAAATCCTCAGGTCTGCCGTAGTTTTTTTTTTGTTTTGTTTTGACTGAGAAATTTCCTTACGTCCCAAAAACGCACATTATTTGGAACTGTGCGTCCCACGTAAAATTATGCGTCTCGGACGCGGGAAGCAGAGGTAATGAGATGGCTGGTATAGTTGACATTAATTAATTTAATACCTTCAACTTCACAATAATAATAAATAATTCAATCAACCATGATTTTAAACCATGTATTATCAACATTCATTATTCTAAACATGAGAAAGCATTCAGCAAACATAACTGGAATGAGCAAAAGGACTCCAAATCCCAACGGCCAAACCCGGAAGTGAAGTGCCGGCATTATTGACTCCAGCTGTAACACAAATTACTTGGTTCAAACAAACAGTCTAGTGCCACCGCAAACGTGACAACTGTGCAAAAATAACTAAATAAAAGACACCACTGTTACGGAAAGACTTTACACGCTATTTAAACTGCCGATCGCGAACGGAACGAACCGTGATTGAAACTAACTGTGATGCCGCTCTTTATACAGGGCTCCGTCTTTTTAGCAGTTACCCACAATGCACTCCCGGCGGCCATATTAGAGAGCTGTTATAAACAAGCCGTACACGAATAGACTTCGTGTAAACAAGCCATACACGAATAGAGTTCGTGTATGGCTTGTTTATAACAGCCCTCCAATATGGCCGACGGTAGTACATTGTGGGTAATTGCTGAAAGGACGGAGCCCTCTATACACGCTCACTGTCTCCTGTCAGTGGCACCCCCGCTTCTCCTAAAGCGCCAGAAAATCCAATAATATGGGTTTCCCCTGGATGGAGATTGTTTGGTTTCTTCATGATTCTTGCGGTCCTCGGACTGAGCGTCCGAGGACCCGATGACTTGACTCCGAGGCCAAGGCCAAGGACTTGAGGAATTTTCCGAGGCCAAGGACTTGAGCCGGCTCGAGGACCACAACTCTGCTAGCGACTCTGCCTTTTGTAAATTACGTCACTCGCCAGAGATTGCCGAACAAAATTTTTCGTTATTAGCATGTTGCTGTGGGTCTAACTCTGAACCCGGGTGGGTTGCATTCAAAAAAAAAAAACGAAAATATACTTAAAGATAGTTGGCCAAATTTATGTCACACTTGACCTTTTTTAACCAATGACTGACTCATCATAATCTATTGCTTGCAATCTGCGGTGTGCAGGCCTCAATGTGTTCCCTACACAGCCCAACTAGAGCGACGTTTTTTTTTTGTTTTTTTTTAAAGAGATGTTAATGGCTTACTCTAGTTGACATATGTTGGAATTGGCCACTTTGAGAGATTGTTAAATAACGAGGGGAAACAAAATGGTTTTATAATGCAAAATTGTACTATAATTATTCAACATGCATTTTGAAGAGTTGTTCGGCCTATGATGCAAAGAAAAAAAAATGGCAACATTACAAGAATAAAGTCAACTTTTCATGAGAAAAGTTGTAATGTGCCAATGATAAAAAGTTGTCATTGAAGGGGGGGGGGTATTTTTCCCAGCATAAATGCTCATTCTCGGAAGTGCACCTGTTTTTCTTTCCAGAGTCCGTACTATGACCAAATGAACTGCCATACTTAATTGCAGTGCCATTACTCAATTGATACAATCTTCTCAAATACAGTCCATCGATTTTCTAATCCACCTATCTCACAAGGGTCGCGCGTGTGCTGGAGCCTATGCCAGGTGTGTTCGAGCAGTGGGCTGGGTACACCTTGAACTGGTTGCCAGCCAATCACAGGGCACACATGGACGAAAAACCATTCGTGGTCACAATCACACCTAGGGACAATTTAGTGTTCCATGAACCTGCCATGCATGTTTTTGGAATGTGGGAGGGAACCAGAGTAAACCCACTCAGGCACAGGTAGAACATGCAAACTCCACAGAGGAAGGCTGGAGCCAGAATCGAACCCTGCACCTCTGCACTGTGAGGTGGGCGTGGTAACCACTCATCACCATGCCGCCCTCAAACACATTCATGTATCAAAATGTGCTCCTTATCTGGGATACAGTATGTGTGAATTTTGCCTGTTTAGCAGGCCTTCAGCAAGACCTGAACATGTCCATTCATCCATTCTCTACATCTTGTTCACAATGAGGCTGAGCTGGAGCTGATTTTGACTTGTAGGCAGCCTGGATTGGAAGCCAGCCAATTGCAGAGTACGAAAGGAAACACAACCATTCACTCTGTCATTCACATCTGGAATCATCATACAGATTCTTTTGACCATGCAGCCGACCTGACAACGTAGTTTACGAACGGCTATACACGTGTATCTCCTGAAATCTGACTCACACTAAAATTTCGTGTCTAAAATGTAAACATTTTAGACAGGAAATATGCATCTTCGTGACTGTAGCACAAAGTTTGTCCTAGTGCTGTCGCTGCAATATTTCTGGCTGAAACATGTTTGAATAAATATATTTTTGTACTTAAGACTTGAAATACTGCCTTACTGTATGTCATCGTTCCGAACCATGTACATATTCGGGTTACGTCGACGTCATTAAAACCAAGCTACGTCATTAGGACCAAGAGATTGTAGTTACAAAACATGAACACAAGGTCGCAGCAAAAGCAATTACTTGAACTTCTCTCAAGTTCTCTACCTATCGCGTTATTTTGACGTCACAAAGGAAGTTTAATCCAAAATCGGAAGCATTACTTCAAAACAAGTGGTATATTTCTGCATGTGGCCGCATAGTGTTTGGCAACAGCATAATACGAGTTTGTTTCCATTGTTTCGTTTAATTAATACTTGACAGTTCTGACAATACAGTGGTGCAGTATTGGAATTTTATCGTTGCCGTGGAGTGTATACAAATTGTCATGGACCGAGTAGCATGTGTCAGAAGTAACCTTTTTTTCCCCCCTTTTTAACAAATGATTTTCAGCATTAGATTAACAGTAGTCCACAAACATGAAAGCCTTTGTTTGTATATTTTTGTCACTTTGGTATTCCAAATTTAATTCCAGACCTCACCTCTTAATCGTCTATGTACACCTGTATGTCCAACCTAGGAGGATCTTCCAGTAATGACTTAGTTTTGTTTCATACTTTTGTGACAGGTTTAATAATTTCGTGGCTTTCCTTGAGTTGAAAGGTGAATAAAACCTAAGCCGCCTGGCTTTCTCTTATGATCTCTTGTCACTGCAACATGAATAAATGAATGAAACCTGAACCACGAATCTTCAAATGAGTCAAAAAAATTAACCTGCATTACAGCTCTGTCATGATCGTTCTCATTGGATCGACAGGAAGAACTCCACAATGGGCATCCACACACAAGTAAACAATATTATTAATGTTGTCTGACCAATGAGAATTTTACTTGTCCTATATACACTCATAATCAGATGCGCTACAGTAACATTTTGACAGAAGAAGCCAAAGGTCACATCAGTGCTTTGCAATCCAAACGGCTTTTAGGCAGTGAAATTGAGCTTGAAGAGGACTGTCTGAGGCGTGGTGATGTCTGCCACTGCTAATTCCTGTCCGTCCGATAAGCCCAGCTCTGCGTGAATAGACAAAAATTAAAATCAATACATTCTTATACAAACACTGTGTATAAATGTCAACAGCATAAGGACAAAAGGCCATTTGCCATTTCGTACCTTTCAAGGTTTTGCAGAGGTTTGGCCGTGTTCGTTCCTCAATTGATTTGACAGACTGTAATTAAAAGTAAATTAGTACTATAGTTTCGAGTTTTAAATGCAAATAACAGGCTGACTTGTGCGCTTCTATTACCTGCAGGTACAGTGTCTTATTTTTGCCTTCCAGAGTTGTGGTGATAGCCGGAGATTTCATTTGCCTGGAAAATAATAGAAATATCATGCTTTTTCTTCATTGTTAACTCGGGTCCAACCAAGCAGAACACTTTCAATGCATGCAGTTCGCTATTTTGTGTGCCCAAACAAAATTTAACACTGCAGCATGTCAGTTCATCTGGTGATTGTCAAATGTGTCAAGCAAAAAATTACATTCATTTGGCTTTATTAGTGCAATTTCCAAAAATTAAATTCTGTGATTCTTTTGCGCATCATTGGAGGGATTACGGCCAATGAATAACCGGCTTCGTCAATTCCATGCAACAAAAATGCACTATGATAAACAGAGAAATACCATGCTTCACCACAAAAAGAAAAGAGGCTTTTATTGCTTGTGAACACACAATGCCTGATTAACCACTAAATGCGTAGAACTCTTTGTACCCTGCACATGAGTTGAGCATAGAGGAAAAATTACCGCCGGATTCATTACACGTGCGTATTGGCCAATTTTCCTCACCACCCTGCATATGTTGATGAATCAGAATTCCCTCTAAACGGTGACTCGCGCCCACCAGAGACTTCATTTGCATCAACCCCGCCCCGATCCAATCCCTTATAACGGGGCATCCATCTGATGGAATCAGCAAATCTGCTGAGTCCCATAACTGTCTTTATCCAATTTTCAAAAAGGTTCATATAACCGGAAAGCTTGCCGAACACAGAAACTGATAACGTAAAATATTAGCCGGAGATCCCGGACCATTGAGCAGCTGAAGCTGTACACCAAGCACGAACGGGAAAGAATTCCAAATCCAAAGCTTCAACAATTAGTGTCCGCCGTTCCCAAATGTTTACTGAATGTTGCTCAAAGAAAAGGTGATGTAACACCGTGGTAAACGTGACCCCGCCACAGTTTTTTCGGAACGTGCTGCAGCCATAAAATTCTAATTGTTATTTGCTAAAAACAACAAAGCTTCTCAGTTTGAACATGAACTCTCTTGTCTTTGTAGGGTATTCAATTAAATATAGGTTGAACATGAGTTGCAAATCATTGCATTCAGTTTTTAGTTCGGTTTAACGCAATGTCCCAACTTCAGTGGATTTAGGTTTGCATAGTAACTGTGCTGCTGTCCGGCTTGGTGGAAAAGTGGTTGAGTGTTACTCACAGGGAGGCGTTCTCTGTCAGGTACTCCAAGACCTCCTGTAGTTTTGCAGAAGGCGGGAACTGAAGGTCTTGAGGCACCTGGCTGCACGCCGAACAGTTGTCCTGCCCGTCACAAACACACATGCAGCACAGAGCTGCGTTATTGCTCGTCGGGGGGGGGAATGATCAAGACCCGGACAACAAACCTTTCGCTCAGCTTCAAAACTGTAAGTGTAGAGTCCGTCCACATCATTGAAGACCAGGTAATTATTTAAAGGAATATACGCACTGGAACAAGAAAGAGATGTGATGTGCGTCGGACAAAGCCATCGATTGAGCAGAATGACTTCAAACGTGCTTCCGGCACAAACCTTGTCGCAATTTTAAAAACTTCACTTGCGCAGGCAGCTGCAAAGAACACAAGCGCAAGTGGGAGAAGCAAAACGGGACTGAAGCTCAAAGACCTCTTTGGGACATTTGTCAGTGGAGGATCAAACATCATTTTGAAACGACTATTTAAATCTGACAGGCTGAACGCCAAATAAAATACAGGAGCTACTGAATTAGAGTACAGTAATTACAGTACAGTTTCATACCGGCGATAACGGCATTTGTGGACGCCACTGCAGGAATGATCCGCTTTACGACGCCTGCAAAAAATGGAGTCTCGTTAACACCCGACAACGCAAAAGCCGTCCGTTCGGGTGAGCGTGCAAAACGGATGTGACCTTGAGTGAGTCGGTATGTGACTCCTGTTATGTTGAACTGTGCAGCTCGCTCCAGCGCTCGCTCAAACATCCACTGGATGTGCTCGGGATTATCGCCGTCTAAACTGGTTTCTGGAGAACAAAGGAGGTGACAGTGATTCTCCGGCAACACGGGAAGGATGGAATGGGCTCCGTACCTCCAAATGGCTTTTCTTTGGGCCACTGAAACAATCTGGGATATTCAATGCAATGTTCGGGGAGCCTCGGCATGGACGCAATGGTGCACATGGGGAAGTGAACCTGAGCATTGGAAAAAGAGCAGGTTCGAGTCAACTTCTTGGGTGCGACAATGTTACTGGACAAATCTTGCCGACGCTCCATTTTAGAAGTGTAAGGAGGTAAAACCGAGCGGGAGCCTGACCTGCGGTGGGTACAACTCAAGTGTGCAGTCGATGCAAGCCGTCATGCCGGGTAAAATGACGCGGGCATTTCCTTTAAAGCCTTCCGTGCCCCCATCAATGAGGGGGATGATGGAGCTGGGGTCCAGTATTCCATCTTCATAGCTCAGGAGGGATATCTAAACTTGGCAAAAAAAAAAAATAAATAAAAAAACGGTCACTGAGCTAAATCTCATTTTACGGAACTTGATGAGCATCTGTTGAAGAGAGCGCAGCTTCCCACCAGCATGCCGTTCATCCATCGCCTGGCGATGATGGAGTCCAGCCCACAGACGATGATGTGAAACTCTGCAGGGAGACCAGGAGGTCAGGGAGTCAAGTCCGCTGACTTGACTCGCTCGCTCAAGTTGACATCTGATACTTACGCCGGTAGAAGGACTCATCAAAGTCCTGGATTTTCTTGTAGTGACTGAATGTGGAACTGTTGAGGAATTACTGTAAAAGCACGCTCATGTTGTTCGCAAGTGTGATGAGGTCACGGTCATTTGAGAGACAGAGACTTGGTTTCCAGTAGGATACGGGACAACTTTACATCCAGGGATGCGACTGTTGATGAAGTCAGCAGCCACTTCTGCTTTTGGTCGTCCGACATCTTTAGGTCTGATGAAACAAGTTCAAACAAAAACAACCGAGATTAACAGTGAAGGGGGTGGGGAAACAAACATTATCATAGGTCAGAGCACCTTGATTCAAAAGGTGTCTCAAACAAAGCCATTTCGGCCGAATAAACTAAAGCGCACCCATTCAAAATACAAGCAGGTGGAAAATACAATGGCAAGAATTTTTAACAATTGCAAATCCTGCGATTTGCGATTGTTAAAAATGCCGTCAACACCGAGTTTGTCCAAACAAGCCCGATTCAACATGGATCTCGATATATGGGGTGCGATATAATTCAAGGACGGTTCATTTTCAAGTGGAACTTTTCAAGTCAATGGGACGCAAGTAGGTTACTGTCAATGTGGCATTTCCTTCCAAGATATTTCTCTTCACTCAGAGGCGATTCGACACGCATCCCGATAAACTTTAAGTGCAACGATTTTGTTCGATTAGATGCACTCCCAGCTTTTAAATCAAAACCAATTTTCCGATTCAAACCAGTCTTGTGTTATCAGATAAGGTAACATTTGGCCAAACTTTTTCTATTTCTTCAACTTCAACTCTTTATTGTTCTGTGTATTTCAGGCAATCTGGATGGCCTGTGGCACCATGTTGCCTCTCACGGGTTAGTTCGAGAAACTGAAAATCCTTTAATTTTCTCAAAAACCAACTGTGCGCCCTAAGAATGGATAAATCAGTGTTTCAGTTTGTCGTCCTTAATTCCAATTCCTTCCCATCATGTTCACGTTGTCATTCTAATGCGCAGTAAACTCTTGCAGTCGCCTGCGTGTTTTTGTCATTCTAGAACTTGGACTATTTTCTGCTTCTGTGTCTAGGAATCATGGGAAATGTAGTCCTATGAGCCAAGCCCGAGCTCTTTCCAGCGGCGCGTTTCCAATGTTAAACTCTGGAATAATGTAATTGTCGCTGTGGGAGCGAGAGATCAACGCTGCGTCAATTCATTCTAATTGAGCATTCATGTTTGCGTTCTCATGCTCATCCACATCTAATCGCTTGTAGGCATTTTTGTCAGACCAGAACTACTTCCTGCTTTCTTGTGGACAGTATTTAGCATCAGCCAAAATAATAACACGACCACCTATCACCAGATTGACAAGCGATGTTCAAACATTTCCCCCCTATCTGTTGGAGGATCCTTTCCTCTGCTCAAAGCAACCTCTCTTTAGTTGCACGGCGAACAAAAGCAACTCAGACACAAGCTGCTACTCGCTACTTCAAACCGGTCTATGTTATGTGTGTATGTATGTTTTTTTTGTGTGCCTTAAAAAAAACTAAGCAAAAAACAAAAAAAAACCAAAACAAAAAAAACAATCAAGAACACTTTTAACCTGACATCAACATACGAGTACATTATATAGCGTCTTTATAGAAATTCCGAACTTTGACTGAGGGAAGGTGTGCGGGGAGGGGGGCGGGGGATCAGATGACAATCTGAAAAAGACTGAGAATAAAATAATAAAAAGGAGAGTTACCTGAAAAGAAACTGCCGATTGAGGTTTGACAAGTCAATAGTGTCCATGTCAACCACATGGATGAGGCGAAACCCAGACAGGGCCTGCAACAACACAAGCTTGTTAGAACAAAGTTTAGGGCACTCTCAGTCCACTTCCTACCAAATCTTTAAGCAGTTCGCAGCCAAGTCCACCAGCACCAATCACTAAAATCTTGCACGTCTCCAACAGGAACTGGAGAGTCTGAAGCGACACGTGCACCAGGGCAGGGAAATTATGAGGTCATCGCTCATACAATGTTGACGTGGCTATGGAAGCGTCCCGCTCACCTCTGTGCTTGGCTCGAAATCGGGATGTGTGAATGGACCGGGTCTCTCCAGGAACTTTCTCACGTGATTCCACCGGCCGGCCCAGTCGCAGGCACCACCATCTACAGCCATTCTAAATACACACACACACACACACACACACACACACACACACACACACGAGAACATCTTGACGATCAGAAGAATCATACAAGACAAACACACCTTTTTGAATTGTGGCCAAAATGTTCAACCAAGGTTTCATTGGACCATTTCAAAACCTCCCAAACACAAAATGTCTTATGGTCTGTTGGAAACGCTCGAAAAGACTTTGTTTGTTTTAATTCAAATGGGTTGAGCAGTTTATAGGTCAGAGGTTACATTAATGGTGTGAAAAGTTTTGAAATGATTTATTTTCATCTCACGTTTTGTATCATTTAAACAGGGGTGTGTAAACATTTTATATCCATCCATCCATTTTCCAAACCGCTTAATCCTCACTAGGGTCGCGGGGGGTGCTGGAGCCAGGGGTCCCAGCCGTCTTCGGGCAGTAGGCGAGGGACACCCTGAACCGGTTGCCAGCCAATCGCAGGGCACACAGAGACGAACAACCATCCACGCTCACATTCACACCTAGGGACAATTTAGTGCGTTCAATCAGCCTGCCATGCATGTTTTTCGAATGCGGGAGGAAACTGGAGTACCCGGAGAAAACCCACGCAGGCCCGGGGAGAACATGCAAACTCCACACAGGGAGGCCGGAGCTGGAATTGAACCCGGTACCTCAGCACTGTGAAGTCGACGTGCTAACCACTGGACTACCGGGCTGCCACATTTTATATCCACCGCAGTAAAATATTTCTGCACATGTTGATGGTTCAGGCTTCATTGAGTTATTTGCGCCACTTTTTAAACAACTGCCTGGCAGTTTTCCATCAAGCTACAATGGTGACAAAACAATTTGTCATCATTACTGCTCAGTTTATGTATAACAGCAGTAAATTAGCTGTCTCACACTAAACACACGATTCAAAGTAATTTAAATCGCATTTTCTCAGGGTTGATGCTTACTTAAAATATCTGATGGACTCCTGACCAAGCCAGATCTCCTTACACGAGTTCATCTTGTCAAAACAATTTACTTTCAGGATAAATACGCGTGTACCTAATGTGGCCAGAAGAACGCCATTGTTGTTGATCACTTGTCAATCAAAACAAAGATACGTTAAGAGCACATTTAGATACAATGAGTTTAGTGACTGTCAGTAAAATCGGTTTATTTGGATTCAATTATGTGAATGTGCATGTTTTCTGGCCTCATTGCCTAACGCAACCCTACTGCCGGGCAGAGAAACCTTTCATTAGCATTCGTAGCACTAACTTGTCTGTCAGGTCCTCTATTCGCCTTCTTTTCTTCTCCCTGGAAGAAAAAAATGGGAATAGATTTGAAACATGCCGCGATAGGGTCAAATTGCGAAACGTTAAACTCCGATTAAAAAGCATTTTCATCCATTGAGACTTACGGCTCCTCGGCATCCGCCATACTTTCACGGTCCCATGTCCTCGAGTGTGACGGATTAGTTGGCGAGCGTCAAAGCTGCGCAGCTCGACGCAGCTTCAGAGAGCGCAATGGCTGTAAACAGCCATTGCGCTCTCTTAATACTGAACGGAGACCAAAGTGTAAATTGTCTTCAATGTGCTTTTCGTGTCATAAATAAGTAAATACATCCATTTGTGGATATCTTTTAGGACTGCATTAAAACTCGCTTCCGGGAACCAGAAACATGGGTTTTCCTGTGCAGTAACACCGGCGCCAATGAAAGATAATTCTGTGGCGCTGACACAAGGAAAAGCAAACCTTGCGTTTTGTGCTTCCCACCGACAACAATCAGCCTTTAATTATCGCGAGAGTTTGGCGTCACGTCCAACTGCCCCTACTGGAAACGGCAGTGATCAGCTGACCCGTCACACATCAGCAGCGTCGCAGTTTCTGTGATGTGAGCTGTGCACTTCCCGACTTCACGTTGACGTCATGGCAGCCAAAATGGAGCTTGCACCGTTCAGAACGTGGGATGATTTCTATCCGGGAACGGAGCGCTTCGCCAAACCAGAGTTTGGAGATGTGGCAAAGTGGAATAACAGAGTTATCAGCAATTTAATGTACTACCAGACGAACTACTTCGCCGCGGCTGTGGTGGTTTTCCTCATCGTTGGGTTAGTACCAGCGAACACAAGACTAGCTTGGGTGGCGAGTTTTTAGCATGCATACTTTTTTATTTTTGTAGACTCACACCCATGATGATTTAAGTGGCCGCGCTGAGTGCCCTGCGCGCCTGATGGACAATTCATTGGAGCTCATTTATGTAATCCCTCGCATGCTTGTGTCGCAAATGCTCTGTGTCGGACAGTCACAAATACGATCATTACTGTTTAGTGGTTGTCAAACTCGATACCAAGTACCACCCTTTTACAATCCTGGGCTCTCAAAGTATTGTACCACCATAATAACAATAATTGTCAAGTAGACCAGTGTTCAAGCTAAAACGAGATATACTTCCAAGAGATAAAGAACATTTTGCTGAACAATTTTGCAGCAATTACCATTTCCGCATCTGATCAAGTGACACGTATGCGTGTCATTGAAGCTCGAACGTGCTTTCAATCATATTGGAAATGTGCTACACCCTCTTTGCATCCTTTGATGTTTGATAATGTTCATTCAGGGCTAAAGGTACTTTGATTTTTCTCATTTGAATATCCATTTCTACACGCATTTTCTATTGTGCTTGAGGAGTCACGGTAAACTGGTATTAGATTAGGCCGATTCCAGTTTACTTTGGGCGAGAGGCGGTTTACACACCCTGAACTGGGCACATAAAGACAATCAAGGTGGAGTCAAACACCGAACTTCACAAGTGTAGTTACTTTGAATATTTCAGACCAATTCCTCAGAATGCTGACCTTGTAATTCCTGTCTGCTTGCAGCACTGAACCATTTTTGCTGCTGCACTTATTGAGCACCAGCACATTGTTTAAAAATACTGACCTAAATGGCTAAAATAATGCTACGGTCCATTTCGCAGGTTCCTGAACCCACTTGGTATGTTTCTTGGAGGAACTGTCGTGACCTTGGTATTCATGGGCTCCGTGTGGGCCGGAGAGAATCAAGCCACCATCAAGAACTTCAAGAGGAAGAACCCCACTCTGTTTGTTATCGGCGTCATGGTCACCAGTTACCTCCTGCTGTCGCTGTGCGGCGGTGTCATGGTCTTCATCTTTGGCATCACCTTCCCTCTGCTGTGTAAGTCTTTACATACAAATATACAAAATTGCTGCCCACTAAAATGATCCGACTTTATTTTTCTCTTTTTTTTAATATTGACGTGTTTCACTGGAATGACTTCTTTTTAACCTCTCACCATGTCACCTCCATTTCCTTCACCGTGAAGTTGTTCAGATACTGGATACTCAACACATGTTGACAACTATGAAAATGATGGACGTACAGACACGTGTAATATCGGCAGAGAAAAAAAATATGTTTGCTTGAACGATGCTCTTGAGGAAAAGTAAGGCACACTGCAAAACTGTAGGGGGAGCCAAAATAATCCAAGTAATTCTTTACTGTTGCTTGAAGTATGCAGAGACGTTACTGCAAATCCTCAGCCAAATCCTTTTGGACTAAAAATTGTTCTAAATCACAACACACGTTGTTGTTTTAATATATCGGAGTTGGCCAATGCTGGCTTACTGATGGTTTTCACGTAAGGTCTCTACCGTATGACTCACACAGGGAAGCATAACTGAGGTTTTGCCGCAGCTGAATAAGTTTCCAAACGCTCACTCTGACTCACTGTTCAATGAAAAGAGAGCATATAAATTACGCTGGCGAGTATTCTCTTCTGAAAGATGACAGATTTCACCAGTTTTAGTTTTGTCTCTCACTCCATATGACTGTTGAAGCGAACATTAGAGCTTTAACATGCCGCTGGAGCCAGCGTGATCACGTCCCAGGCGGCCTGCCCACCGCCCCATGTTTACAGATTGCTATGGTTTCTCGGTGTGGACACAACCGCATTTACTGACTGATGTCATGCCTTTGCGATCTGCCACATCGACTAACACCTGCATGTGTGTGTCTCGCTCTCTCTGTCACTTATTATTTCCAGCAAAGAATATCTACGTGTAAAAAGAGTTGTCTTTAACATACGTTTTGAAACTCGTGTTATTTCCTATTGTTGCTGTTCAGTAATCCTCATCCACGCCTCCCTGAGACTGCGCAACATGAAGAACAGGCTGGAGAACAAGATGGAAGTTGTTGGGATGAAGAAGACTCCGATGGGCGTCCTCATGGATCTCTTGGATCAGCAGGAGGAGAGAGTCAACAAAATGCAGGATTTTATCGAGAGCAAACTGAAGCAGTAAGATCGGAGCAAAGGGAAGTCTGCTCCATCATCCCGCATGCCACAAGTAGAATCACATTTGTACTTTTGGGCCCGCCGCTCTTCCCGTTTGCTTTTAGTTAGATGAGCACACTCCTTCAAATGTGTACAAACGCTTTGCAAAATCACAGTTGAAAGACAAATGGCAGCAAAGGTTCGAGCATTCCCATGTCTGAGGATTTAAAAATACACTCATCCCCTTGCTGATTTTGGGCTTCTTTGGCACGCAGCTTGGGTAATTTCCTCGTCGACTTAATCGCGCTGCTTTGTCACGGCCATTGCCAGACTTTATTTCTTATCTATAGTAAGAAACACCGATTGACTTCTTCAAAGCAAAGCTTCCATTCTGTTACTTCAGGAGCCTTACAAATACTGATCCAAGGCCAATGCGCTTCTGGTGTACATGTGTTCTCACTAGTAATCCTGAGTATAAATAGAACAATTTTTCAGACTGTGTGACCGTGTGCTGAAAGCAAAGACTAGCTTGGGAGTATCTCCACCGATCTTCCCTGTGCAATCGAAAAGGAATGGCTCTTTCAGCTTTGTTCGACTCTAATATGTATAGGTTTGCTGTTTGTGTCTATTATTTCGGCTATATTATGAATGCAATGGCTGTGGGTGCACGCAAGTGCATGTCGACTGCCCAGTTTGTGCACAAAGGCCTTCAGATGGATGGAACGTGTTGTCCTCTGTTACATGTGACTTTTTCCATGGTGTGAGCACAGATCCAAATATTAAACATGGCTGTCGAAACCAATTAATGATGTGTTGTTTTTTTTTTTTTTCCTCATCGCTTTATGAATGGTATGCAGTCGTTGCATTTGTGGGATTGTTTATTAATTGGCAAATGCAAAACCACAACTAATCCAGCATTTAGTAAATGTAAGCCTTCTTGGCACACAATATGTGTTAAATAAGCATTAAACAGTTGGGCTCCCCTCTGAATAAATGTACACGTGTTCAGCTGTTTTCGGGGTGCAAATATTGAAAACTTTGAATTTCACTGTAAAACACAGTTGAACCAGAAGTTGACGTCACACCATATATTGAGACACATGGATATTTTTTTCTTACTGTCTGACATGAAATCAGACTGAACTCTTCCTGTTGTAGGTCAGTTCGATCATCAACATTATTTCCATTTGCGAAATGCCAGAATAATAAACAAAATATTTTTTAGACCAATTTTTAAAGGCTTTTTTTCAAAGTCAGGAGTACTACTGTATGTCATTAGTATTTTGTCCCTTGCCTCTTACTGTCACTGTATGATTTGGGTCAAATGCTTTGGATTTCCTACCACAACCTTCTCACAACAGCTGACATTTTACCCCATCGAAAGAACTAGTGGAACTGAGCCAAGTTTGTACGCTGCCTTGCGAGCATATGCCTTTTCAGGTCTGCCCCTAAATTGTCAATAGGACTGAGATCAAGGGTTTGTTATGGCCATACCAAAGCATATCTGGAAGCCATTTTGGGACCAGTTTGCTCTGGGTCATCGTCCTTGTGGAAGACCCATTTGCGCCCAATCCTTAACCTCTTGGCTCATGTGTTGAAATGTTGCTTCAGAATTTCCACATAGTGTTCCTTCCTCATGTCTTTTTTTTTTGTGAAGCGCACCAGTCCCTCCTGCTGCCAAACACCCCCATCACACGATGCTGCCTCTCACCGGAAGCTTTCAATGACGTGACATCATAATGTGTGTTGTCCCAAATTGTTCAAAGGTGCAGGAATCATTTACTGTATGTAAATTTTTGACTTCGAAGACAGTAATGAAAGAATTTTTTTTTTTTTAATCTCATTTTTCAGGCTTTTAGCAAATAGAAATCATTTCGGTAATCCTAATTGACTACGATACAGAACAGGAAAAGTTTAGTCTGGTTTAATGTCAGACAGTGAGAAAGAAAAGAATCCATGTGTTTTCTATACAACCCCTGGCAAAAAAATAAAATTAAAAAAAATGGAATCACTGCTCCCAGAGGATGATCAGAAAAAGTAAAATCACAAGTTTCACAGGTTCCACAAAATCGTTTTATTCAAAATGTAATCCTTCCGCCTTTAAGCAATTAAAAAAAAATTGTTGTACTCAGTCATATATTTTTAGAGCAAGTAGAATAAAAAATGCAACCGTTCAATTCTGAGGACAAAATTAATGAATCATTGAGAATAAAAGAAAAAAAACGTACAACACTACAGCAGCAATACTCTGTTTTGTTTCTAGCCTTGTCATTGACCATTGGTGTGCATTTGCTGTGAGTTTTCTGTCGTGATGCTTTGACAAATACCTACTTGGAGAAATGTTATAATTATTTCCTTTGTTCCAACTGACATCTCTCATGTCGGCGCCACGTTTTCAACTGCTGACTAAATAGCAGATTCAACCTGATGCAGGTATTTGTTTTTGAGCCATTCTGTACTTTTCCCTCTTCTTGCTCCAAACATTATTGTGACTGACTGCAACCATTTTTTAAAGTGTTTCTTAAAGCCAGAAGGGTGGCATTTTGAATAAAAGTTGTTTTATGGAACATCGGCGATTAGCCTTGAATGGTCATTTGATCATCAGCAAATGATTCCATCATTTTTTCCCAATGATTGCTTTCAACTGTACATACCACACATTATTGGCTTTTGTGAAACATGGGTGAACAACAGCCAGCCGCTATGTGTGTGAACACGTGGTTCTTTCTCAGTGGACACTTCATTTTCCCAAATCCAGTAGGTGTCAAACACATATCAAGAAAAGTCACTGCCTTAGGTGAGACTTGTTTCACTTGATTCCAGGGCTTTAGGGAGTGGCACCTGCAAGCAAAGGAAATCATTTGTGTTAAAGTTTGCGTGGCATTCCATTAAGAAGGTCATACTTTACACACGCCATACATTCCAAGTAGTGTGATCATAGCACATTGGGTGCTTGATGTAGCTCTGCCAAAACTCGACGGATCATTTCTCTCAATAAAAATGGCTGTCTCTATGTGTCAGTCCCGTGATTGACAGGTGATCAGTCCAGCAGGCGGCCCTCCTCTCATCCTAAATCAGCTCCGCTTTCATACGACCCTGGACGGAAAGCGATGGGTGCATTGTATTGTATTTACATCCAGAAAAGCATCTGTTGGGGGTGGTACTCTCACCCTGGCCGAAAGGCTTTCTTTAGCTTTCGTTGATATACGGTGGCTTTTATGAAGCGAGTCTAAATTTGTGCTCGTGCCCGCCCACTCTGCATAACGCAAAGGATTCCATCCAGTGGTAAGGCTTGAATGCATGCTTTGGACACATTTGCCATTGGAAGAATGTGGGACCACCTTCTCACCCGAGATGGACGACGTTGATGAAGATGTTTGAGTTAAAAGGACTAATTGGTACTTCCTTGTTCAATGTCTGATGAGGATTATTTATCACCCAGCGGCAATACTCACAGATTTAAGATAGGCCACGCTACTCTTCTTGATCTCATTGAGGAGCTCATCACGGGGTGTGGGATCAACCTTCGGTGGCACTCGCCTGCGAGGGACCGGTTTCAAAGTCTTAATGACATCCTTCAGGTTTGCTTTTTCATCCGCCGCCGCTTGTGTGACCGACTCTTTCACTTTGGGAGCCTTCCTCAGTTGGAAACCTGCTCGCTCTTGTCGACTGGCTTCCCTGCGGTCCAGCTCCTGAAAGTGGTCGCGTTTCTTCGGAGTTTTCTTCAGCCGGACGTCCCTCAGTGGGTTTTGGGGCTCGGCACTTGGTTGTCTGGGAATTCTCTTGTGCTTGAGCTGCTTTGGGGGCCCGGGTTCTTCTTCTCTTTCTCCCCCATCTTCTTTTGGGGGCACACGATTCAGCTCTTTTGGGGGCACACGATTCAGTTCTTTTGGGGGCGCAACAAGCCCATGTTTCTGTAGGAGTTCCAGGGGCGGTATGTACCCCAGCATCTCGAGTAAACCCGGAGGCAGGTTGAGACTGCTCTCGTACATCTGCATGACCTCCCTCTGCTCCTTCAGCTGCTGTTGCTTCTGCTCTTCTTTTCTCAGTTGCCTCTGGCGGTCCAGATTCCTGGTTAAGAGATTAGTCACCACCATCCTCGGCCCTGGCTGTTCAAAATGGTAGCCCAACTTCAGGAGGGTGTTGTTGGCCTTGAGCAGGCGCGAGATCTCCATTTCGGCATGATGACCCAGCATGTGTCTTTGATTGTGAAATCGCAGCTCGGCGAGGGTCTCGTTGAACTGGAGGCATCGAATGATGGCCACGATTCCCTTTCCCGTGATGAAGTTGGACTCGATGTTGAGCGTTGTGATGCTGCGATTCTCGCGTAACATGTTGGCCAAGTTGAACGCAATGTTTTCATCCACACCCGTGTTTGCGATGCTGAACGTTTTCACGTGTTTGTTCTTCTTCAAGGCGTTGACATAGTCCAGGAGCATCTCTTTGGGAATGTTTTCGATGTTGTTGAGATTGACCTCAGTGACAGAAGAGTTGTTGTTCCGGATCTTATCAAGTGTCGACTCCAAGTTTGTCTCATTTCCTGATGGTCGAGATGTCATTTTGATGTTGTTCAGTGCCAGCTTGGGGATTTTTAATTTGTTGATTTTTGTCCCCTCTTTCTGCTGGGGTTTGTCGTCGGGCTCCGTCGACTTTGCATCTGCGAGTAAGTCTTGAGGAGGCAAAGACTCCGTCGTTTTACTGTCCTCTTTAACTTCTGCCGTTCCGTCTCTCCGGCCTGCTGCTTCCTCCTCTGTGCTGTCAGATAGTGTCTTCGTATTTTCGTGTTTATTTGGATTCATCTTTTTGTCTTTCTCATGGACCTCTTTGTCTGGGCCATTGCCCTCTTTTACGCTGTTGACGATTTCCTTCTTCACGGTTCCCTCGATTGCTTCATCAAATATTTGCCTTTCTCTCGAACCGTCTTTAGCTTTTTCCTCAATGACTTCCTCATTCACTTCAGGGGCTTCATCGTGCCCATCTTCCACAGTGTTGACGTCTTCTTTCTCTTCGGCCTCCTGCCTCACTGTTTTCTGATGAAGACAACCAAGGGGACCAACATTGTTAGCGCCGTGTCCTCCCAAGTACTACGATTATGTTTGTGCGAAAACTTGTTTTTTTTACATTATTTTGGCAGTCTGGTGGCCTCTTACCTCACTGGGTAGCAGAGTAGCCGGCACTCTTTCTTCCTCAAGCATACGTTTGGATTCCTTTTCCCAGTAGAGGTAGCCGACCAAGGATCTGTGGTCAAAGGTTCCAGTCGGCGGCTTCTCTGTCTGGTCCTTCTGCCTCTGTCCAACTGGAACGCTATCATCTGGAGCAATCATAATATCCATTTCACTCTGGAGCTCCTTAAGCTCCTCGGGCGAGAGCATAGCAAGGATTTCATCCTCATCAATGTCCTCTTCATTGACATCCTCAGTATCTCTGTTGGACATCTCTGGTTGCGTTCTCAGTTCAAATTCTGTCAAAAGGATGCTAAATGTTCTGTCAGGATACTGACGCAGGGCACAGCAAACTGGCAAGCCTCTGACTGACTTGAGCTGGAGTTGCTCCGCTTCTGCCTCATGTGGGGTCTAAAAAAAGCGCACGGGTGATATTTACGGCAAGACAAGTAGGGGGCGAAAGGCATGCTATCGGTCGTTTTTCAGCCCCTCCTCACGGGGCTTTTGGGATGACAGTTGCTTCGGGCAAATGAAATCAGCAAGACCGACAGCAGCAGGTGGACAATTTTCGTATGCCTGATCAAGCTCCTACAACAGGAGCATGACAAAAATGTGACAAAACTATTCATCCCATCTCCCGTCAATCTTTTTAGACCATGATTCAAAGTCATTTTATGCGGCACACTATTTTTCAGGAATGCTCGCATTTTCATCTTTGATTGTAAATCTCTACTGAAGAAGGGCGAGTGAAACAGGTGTTAAGCAACGGCAGTACATGAGGTGACAGCAGCCATTTATGAGTCACACAAGTATTTATTAATCCTTCGCAGTGGAAAATATTTCATCATGACACCTCACACGATACTTGGAACTACACACAGACTGTACAAATGTGTGAGAAAACAAATGTCATTGTTTTGATGGCAGTGGTCTGATTCTTATCAAAGTTTTTATCAAAACTGATTTCCTTCACATGCACTTTAAATCACATCACGGCACTTACTGACAAAATGACTGTTAACATTAGTGACAGCATACATTCAGATTCCAGCTTTAAAGAACGGAAGGAAAGGAAATTCTACAACATGGTTTGTTCTAATGAACGATCACATTAAGTGTCACATTCACAATCTGGATCCTCCATTTTATGAAAGATGTCTTTTTTTTCCTGTTGTTCAGCATAAGGCAGCAGCTAGTTCCTGTTTATGTTTGATTGATTGCCTTGATATCTCAAGTACAAGTCAGTGGGGTTGTGCAACGTTTTGAGAATTTGAGACACAGTCTATCTTGCCTTTCTCAACCATCCACCCAATGGAAGGCACCTTGGGTTCAGAGGTTAGTCCTTGGATGGAAAGCCTGTTTCAACTTCATCCTCTTACGTTACAAAATGTGGTTTGGTCGTCATCATTGGATGCTTGTGTAGCTGCTGCCCAGGTAGAATCTGAAAGAAGACACTGAAATCAAATGGATATTCACACATTCAATAATCTGAAAGTGACCAGGACGTATGACCAAAGGACTGAAATTAAAGAAGATCTACAGATTGATTATAAAAGCATGGAATAATAGATTGAAATGATCACGTCAAAATACAAAAAAACTCCGTGGGGTGAACCAAAAAAAAAAAAGAAAAAAAAAGCACGTTGACAAGAAGTGGTCTTTGTGTGAAACTGACAGAATATGAGGGTGCTATGAAAGATTGGCATCTTTTTTACGGTCGCGAATGAATAACCAAATACAGTAAAGGGCTTCTAGGAGGTAGATGGAGAGCAATGATCTACCAGATCAAGCTATCGGGGCTGTTTTCTTTAAAAGAAAGAAAAAAAATTATATATATATATATATATATGAGTTTGTGTGTATAGTTGGAATTCTATTTTATTTCTCTTTTTGAGAATTCTCTTCTCTTTTGTGTGTCTTTATTATTCAAACAGCCTCTGGGCATGTCACACTTACGGATGTTTGTTTTTATATGTCGAGGAGGCCGCTATGAACAGGCAGCAATTGGCCATGGAAATGTGTGGTGTGATGAGGAAACATCCGTTCAGTTGCTTTGTTTGGTCTACTAATTACATATTTCAACTTGAATTCAACTGTGAAGCGTAATGAATCACAAGCCGTGCTTGTGCAATTTATAACATCATACAGTATTGGTGTTCTCTGTAGCCGAGCTGAAGTTTTCTTTAATTTTTTTTCTTTCTTTTTTTTTTTTTTAAAATAGAAACTGCCACAGAATGGATGCATGAATGCGAATGTTGTGAAATACAAAAACACTGCCCTAAAGGGAACAGAAAATCCAACCACAACACAAAGAGGTCGATGGTTTCATTCCATGAGCACACTGATGAAGATGAGGAAATGGACACGAGTGGCAACACAACATACAGCCACCTGCTTGGTCTCACCCTTAAGTGCTAGTGTGGTTGTCTGATTCTTCATCCATTCTAATGGCCTCAGCGCCAAACACCTCAACTGACTCACATTTATTAGGCTTTGTGTCAGAGCCCGATACTTTGTTTTCTGGAGAGCATCTGCGCACATGAGCATTAATCGAAATTCAAAAAGTAAAAGAGGGAGGAAAGAAGCAGCAGAGATTTCAGTGTGCTGTTGGTCACCTCTTCAGTGAATCCATTTTTCCTAAAGAGGTCAATGAGATTTCCATTCAAATATAAACAAACAATGACTCTTTAAGGAGAAAAAAATATCCTGTTTGGACCTAGTCGCTATAGGTAATTAAAAAAAAAAAAAGTTGAATAGAGTATCAAATTGCTAAAATCTTTTGTGGTCGAGACCAAAAATACTATACGTCAAGTTGTAAGAATTTTAACCTCTCTTTGAATATTCATTGCTTTCATACTTTTGGCCTTATTTTTTTTCTGATATAACTTTACTCTCTCACTCAAGTCAAAAGTTGAAAACGACAACTCACCTGTTGTGTGTGGGGCTGCGATTATATGGCGACAGAGGAACTGCATGTTGAGAGTAATGAGGTGTGTTCGGTGTGTCGTAGTCAGTCAGGCCGACTGCCAGCTGGTTGCGCCAGTTCCCTGCACTCTCCACTGAGGACACTGCAAGTGAGCCCAAACCAAGTGCACTCTTAGTTGGTAACTTGCTTTAATTGCTCTGCACAGATTTTTTTTTTCATCACTGCAATGGGTGACACAGTACTATTCAGTAATCCGAAGAGATTTTTCAAAACTGGTGAATCTCGTGCCAGCGCAAACCCAGTTTACCGTTTTTTGGGAATTTGGCAGACCGCACTGCACCACGCTGGGCATTCTGACGGAGCGAGGGCGTTTTCTGTTACATGGCCCCGGCTCACCTGACAATTTGGTGGCTGAAAGTAAACTAAACCTTCGACTAGCTGAAAGGTGTAAGTTGCAATTTTGCTGAATGCTACTGAGGGGCAAGGAGACAGATTCTGAGCTCCATGGATACGTGTGCCGGAGGATACCGTAATTTACTCATAAATATCGCAACCGCGGGAATCAAACCCTTTGTCTAATTGCATAAATCAATTCATTGAAGGCATTATTATTTTTATTGTTATTATTATTGTTATCATCACGGGGCGGCCCGGTAGTCCAGTGGTTAGCACGTCGACTTCACAGTGCAGAGGTACCGGGTTCAATTCCAGCTCCGGCCTCCCTGTGTGGAGTTTGCATGTTCTCCCCGGGCCTGCGTGGGTTTTCTCCGGATGCTCCGGTTTCCTCCCACATTCCAAAAACATGCATGGCAGGCTGATTGAACACTCTAAATTGTCCCTAGGTGTGAATGTGAGCGTGGATGGTTGTTCGTCTCTGTGTGCCCTGCGACTGACTGGCAACCGATTCAGGGTGTTCCCCGCCTACTGCCCGAAGACAGCTGGGATAGGCTCCAGCACCCCCGCGACCCTTGTGAGGATCAAGCGGTTCGGAAAATGAATGAATGAATGAATGTTATCATCACCATCATCTTCATTATATTTTTAAAATCACCCTCTTTGGCCACAGTACAGGTACTGTATGTGGTAGTAAGGGGGAGAGTCAAGCATAGACATGAAAGATCGGGTTGGGATCTGTGACTGCCGTGGCCAATTTAACATCATCCACCCATGTGGGTCTGCTTGCATTTCCTTTGCACGTTTCGATATTCTGCACAGACTTCAGCGAGTCGATTTCTACTTCCGCAAAGTCCAAGACTGCACTCATCCAGTTAACTGATTTTAAAGAGAATGAGAGGGGTCGCCTCCATTGGCCGGGAAGCAAATCTACGTTGTTACTCCCACAATGGCGCGTTTCGAATTGCGCGCGTCGAAGAATGCAATGATGATTTAAGGACGGGAATAAACCATTTTTAAAATGCCCGTCTTCTTGTGGGCACTGTCTTCATTGACCTATAAACGACTTGCAGACATCATCTCACCGGATGAAAATGACGTCGTTCTGCTGGAGTGGCTGAAGGCCGCCGGCATGGTCTGGTACCCTAGGCTGAGCTGAGAGCCACAGTCAAAGTCGCATCCTGTCCTCTCTTCTTCCCTGGGGCCACGGTTGCGATGGTACCACCCTCTCAGATGTTCTGCCACCATAGCCTTCTGCATGTTCTTGGCCAAAAGTTCGTTTCTGGGTCCCTCCCTGCTCCTCGGCGGCCTCACCGTCGCATAGGGATTCTGGGAAAGGCCGTCAGTTCGGTCAGAGCCGTAATGCCTGAACCTGTCGTGTCCGTGATAGCCGTTCATTTGATAGGAGGGGTTGACGTTGTAGTGGCCTTCGACGTCATTCTCATACACGTAGGCACCGTTCGCGTAAGGCTCCATATCTGGACACGGGCAGCCGGAGACGTAGTAGGCACTGGGTGGATAGTGTGCTGAGGTCTCGCAGGCGTAACTACAACCAGAATGGTGCTGAACCAGGTTGGGCATACTCCCTGTATTTCCGTACACTTCCACGTTGCGGTGCAGTCGATGCATGGTGGAGGTTCGGGAATCTAAGGTACTGTAGTGGGAGCTGGCAGGCCCGCAGAAATCCAGACTGGACTGACTGGTGTAGGAAGAGCAATCTTCCAAGACCTCTGTGCTGTTGCTGCGGTGAGCCGGTGACAAGGTGAAAACTGGCTTCTCCGGGTCTGTCTCCTTTCTCAACTGGGGCTGGGACTCCAAACTTCCACTGCGAGCCCTGAAGCCATGGGGTGAGCCCTCGCACCTGGAAAGAGGACACAGCTTGCCGCGTTACACTAATTACTCATCTGCAATATTGAAACTTTGTACCATGCGTTTGAATGACAACTTCAATTGGCGATTGAGTGGGGAATAACGGTGTTGGGGAGCCATGACCAAACCTGAGTTGGCTGCTGCTGTAGGCATTGCGGGTCATAGCTGGTGTGGGAGGCATGCTGCGGGGGTCTCTGGGAGCTCTGGGGAGGGTTTTATAAGGGCTACTGTGGGTGGAGGAGGTCTCTCTTGGATTGTGGTAGTAGAGGGAAGCTTCCTGGCCTTCAAAAGCTAATCTAAAGGGTTGTGACATTGAGGGTGATGATTAAAAAGAAAAGCAGGAATGATATGTGTGCAACAGAAGAAGGCCTCAAACACGACCGAGCAATAGATGTCGAAAATGTGTCTTCAGCAGGTCAGATTAAGCCTCACCCTTTGTTCTGGTTATTTTCCCTTTGAGATGTTGGCTTCTCTACATCGTATTCCGCCCCCAGGGAACGTAATGGACTGAACTGAGGGGAGTCTTGCACAGACTGTGACCGCGGCCGCTGGCTGGCGCTGTCCGAGTCATCTGAATACAAAAATAGGACAGCGCCAAATCAAGATCCGAACATGGGGCCTTACTACGGGATACTTTGCAGAGACGTGTCGCCAAGCTCACCGTCCTCCAAGGGGAGGCTCGACAAGGAGCTGCATTCTGACCGCATGAGCTCATCTGGACACAGAGAATGCTTCTTGTGAATACAGCAGAATCATGCAAGTTGTGACAGTTCCTTCGTTGCACTTGCTCCAAACCTGCAATGATTACTGAGGCTCGCTGGGTGGGTCTTTTCCCCTTCTTGATTCGATAATGGTTCATCTCATTTTCAATCTGCTGAAGCTTGTGCATAGCATCCAAACAGTTTCTCCTCCTCTTCTTCTTAACCGTCTTGCACAGTTCTGGCTCATTCGCTAGCTTTTTAGCTGCCTCCACGATTTTCTGCTGGAGGGCAAATCTGCTCTCCAGATTTCTCAGAAAAGGATCCTGCAGTGCAAGTCGCAAAAGACGTTAAAAGTACATTCACTTCCCTATTTTCACCACGCATCCCTTTTTTCCCTCCCTTTCCACTGTAAACGGTCTCAATATGTCCAACACATTGTGTCCCACTTTTCTGCCTGCATTTGTTGGGGTTTTATGGAGGGGTGAGCTAGACGCAGTGCTGTGCTCTGATTGGTCGACGCAGACATGTCACTACGACCGCATGTAATATAACGTAGATAAAGTGGGAAGAAAACAACTTGATACATTTTTGCTGACCCTGTGGTATTCCTAATTTATGGCAGACAATGCTTTCATATCTTCAAGTATGCGCTTATTGAAGGGTAAGACTTGCAATTTACCAAGAGCTTTTAAACTGAAGCACCCAACACAAACTTGTTTTGGTTTATCTCTACAGTTAAAAATGTCACTTTTTTATTGTTGAGAAAAGGTTAAGCCAGTAACAGTCTGGGATTGTCATTTAAACCAAATTACCACAAAGTATGAAGTGAAATTCAGGTTAAAGTGCTAATTAAAAGGCATGTCATATTGGCCAAAGGCAACTAATGAATGTGAATGATGAAAGTGCACAAGTGAAACACAGACCTCATTGTAAGGGAAAAGGTCATCCAACTTGAAAGCCGTGCCAACTCGCCGTCTAACCTGTGGTGGTCGTTCATCTGAAGACAAGGGGTACTCCTTTGGCAACTTTCCAGTAAGCTCCTGAGAACAACCAACACTTTAAATGGATACTGTCGCAGAAACAATCCATCACACACACAAATTTAATTAAAGGCTTTGGGGGAAAGGGGAATCTGGAGACAGAAAACACGAAGGAGAGGCCATTCATTAAAAATGTGACACCTTACAATGACCAAAAGTGAAATAAATGATATTTTGATGTGGCATTATGTATTAATGTTTTCAGGACACCAAAACCATACATATTGTACAAATAAATGGAACCAGAATGAGCTGAGCGGTATGGATCACTGCGGAAATGTCTCCTTCAGAACGACACATCCGTGCAGGTTAGCGCAACAATATCAAGTATTTCCGTGACCTTGATTATTTTTTTGTTCCAAAAAATATACCTTACCAGTGTATAATAGTCTGGAATACACGCGCTTTGCAAAATGGGTGGATAGTAGTAAGCATAATCCTTTAGAGCAGGGGTCCCCAACTGCCGGTCCGCGGACCGGTACCGGTCCGCAGGGCATTTGGTACCGGGCCGCACAGAAAGAACTTGCCTTATTTCCGTTTTATTTATTTCGGAATACGAAATGTGTTTTATTTTGAAAAATTACCGGATTCTCTGTTACATCCGTCTGTGTCACGCTTGACTCACGTCAAGCCACACTTCTCGGTCACGTGACCGATAACGCTCATAAACAAAACGCTGAAGCCCGCAAAATGAGTAAAAAAAGCTGCTTGGAGATCGCAAATGACTTCGGCCTTAATAGTACGTTCGAAACAACTGGATCAAAGTTATGGCTGAATACTCTGAGATCGCCACAATAGCACTGTTGCTATTTCCGACATCCTACCTGTGTGAGGTGGGGAGTTTATGCAGCAACAGCGACTAAAACAAAATTACGAAGTAGACTGGACATAAACCACACACTTGAGGTGTCATTGTCTCCTATTACCCCGAGATGGGACTGTCTGATTGCAGAAAATCAAGCTCGGGGCTGTGGTGAGTCGTCATTTTCATGCACTTTGAATTTGCGTTGTATCGTATTTTGAAGGCATTAAACATTACCAGAGCGATAAGAGTGTTGCGACCAGATTAGACGCTCCTTGTGTTTATTATTGTATTTCGAAAACACCACAGTTTTCATGCAGCTCATACCATATTATTTTGTTGTATTAATTCCGCCACACCTTAAATGCCGGTCCCTGAAAATAATGTCTGACTTAAACCGGTCCGTGGGGCAAAAAAGGTTGGGGACCCCTGCTTTAGAGGACAAAAAGACAGAGAAACAAGGGCAAGTAAACAGAATATCTCACCGCTTCCCGGAGACAAATCTTCTTTAATTCCTTTGTCTTTTTGGCCAAGATATCTTGAATCTCCTGCTCTTTCTTTCTCAGCTCAGAGAGTTTCTCTTTCTTCTGCTCCTCACTCATTTCAGAGTCTGCAGAACCTGTAAAATATGAATTTGAATAGTTGCACAGTTATTTTACGCCCCCAAAAATCTGTTGATTGATACACTACACTGAAAGGGGAAGTCAACGCAAACATTTTCTTTCGAGTAATAAGTTCCATGCAGCACCAGTTGACTAAATACACTATCCTGATAAAGAAAATATGAGTTAACATCTAAAATCCACACGTTTCTCTCCATTTCAGAGGGCGGCCATTTTGCCACTTGCTGTCGACTGAAAATGACATCGCATTTGCTCAGGGCTCAGGTAACAAGCGATCATGGCTGAGCTTCAGAAAACAGGTGAGGCATGATTGGTCATTACCCGAGCACTGAGCAACTGTGAGGTCATTTTCAGTTGACAGCAAGTGGCAAAATGGCTGCCCCCTGAGATGGGTGAAAACGGGTGTATTTTGTTGCTTAAATCAAATTCCATAAACGCAATATTAAGCGGAATGCTGTGTTTTGTCTTGACATCCCCTTTAAATATTTTGCATTCTTGACATTGGCTGCAGGTTGCTCTGGAAGCGTCACGAGTACAACCAACCTGTCGATACCAGGCTCCCATTGCTGGCTGTAATCAAGTTATTTTTCAGGACGGACTCTCCAAGTTTGTTTGTCTTTGCCCCTGCATGCTCGTTCAGATCCATGGCAATTTCCTCCAAGCTTTTGGAGACTCCGAGTTTAGCCTAACGGAAAGGAGGAATCAAATCTTTTTGCATGGATCTCTTTTTACTTTGCCACTCTGAAATGCATTGTAAGTCTCACACTCACTTTGCTCTGCTTTCTGTCCAAGTAGAATTGATGTTGGCTAATAGCCATGACCCAAATAGTTTTGATCAAAGAGTGGCTCGCATACCAAGTGTGGATGAGGAGGCCAGTTTGTCCAAAGGTGCGCTTGGTTACTGCTCTCCTGAAGCAAAAGGATCAGTGGTGAACTGTGTGTCTTATTTCAGATTTCAGATCAAGGTGGGTAATCTCATACAAACCAAAGGGATGTAAAACAACAACAACAGTAACACCAAATAATGAACTTTAAAAAAAAAAAAAACAAAATCTCACCTGTGTGGATCATTAACCTCCACTGCAAATTTTTTCTCCCTGAAGTACAAATTTTCCAGTTGCTTCCACTGATAAAGCTGGTAGTCACAATAGAGAAAGCGCACAAAGTAAATAAACGGCACTCATTCTGTGACCAATCAAGTGTCATTAGAGTCTGGTTTACCAACACCGCAACATTACAGCTGTTCAGTGGGCACAATACTCCCACATTACGAAATCAAGACTCATCACTACATGTTCCGTGGCTCATCGGCCAGGTGCTCCGTGACAGCAGCCTTATTTCAAGTCATTTGTGACTAACTGCATGTCTAGTCCGGCGGCGAATGAAACACACATTTCAAAAGAATTTTTTTTTAATGTTACATGGGTGAACAGCATGAGGGGGTGACAACAAATAATGTATTACATAATAATGTAAAAGTTCTCAGAGCTTCATTTAAAAGTATCATATTCTATGCATAAAAAAAAGAATTGAAATCGACTTCTTACCACTACAAAGGGTCTTCAATTTCAGATCCTATTTGGTAGTTATGAAATCCTCTCTGGCTTCACTCTCAACACCAACTTGTACTAGGACTGGATCATGTCAGCTCCTGACTTGCCTCCTCAGGTATTCTCATGCATGTTAACGCCCAAAGCCATCCCTCTTTTCGTTCTGACATTAGCAGCTCCCTCCCCTCCCTTCACCTTGCCTCCCCACCATACAGGCAGCAGACACTTGCACAATCCAGCCCTCAAAGTAAAACTGCATCATCCCGTGCAAGCCACCAGAATGTATTCTTCACCTGACACGTTTGAAATAATATTTCCGCTTCTTCTTGGCCCGTACCGCACATGCCAAAGGTCTTATTCAGCATGGCATCATTCGCATGGGTGTCTCTATCACTTGGCAATCTAAAATGGCTGACGTGTGCGGAAGTTCCAGTAAAGGAACACTTGAAACGACATGAATGATTTTTAGCAATGAAAAGGTCCGGCCCTTGAATTCATTTGAATCAGAAATGAGGACTCAGCCCGCCGACAGTGTCCGGTGCAGACAAGCCATTTTAAAGCCACAACAGTAGGATCATATTTACCTTTCTGGGTTTCAGCTTGTCTTGTAGATCATACTGGCCAATGCCTTTATAACTGATCCCAAGCCACCATGGCATCCCTTGTTTATCCTGGACGGGGTGGAAAAAATAGAGTGAACATCTGTTCCGTTCCCAGAGCAAAGATGAGCAGAAAGCCTACCTTCACTTCATAATAGTGGACACCATATGTGGGCAAGGATTCCACAAGCGTCAGATACCTACAGTGAAGAGTGTTATTAAAACCACAAGGTGCTTCATAACGTCCACATGGGCTGTGGCGAGGAGGAATTCTAGAGCATTTGATCTGGTGCGTCTGTGTGATTCACTCGACTGAACATATTGATTGATTTCTACCAGTTGATGGGGAAAAGGGATTCCAGCAAGACAAAGTGAAAAGGAAGCCTCGGTGGAGGAGGGAGATTAATGACCTGAAGCCATTTCAACATTAATTAATGTCGAACGTGTTTCAACAAATCAATATTTTATTTTAACTTCAACACTTACTGTACAATGGCCTGCCCTCTGGAGACTCCTCTGAGCTGTTTATAATAGTCGATGACTCGATCCTCACTGCATTAGCATAAAGAAAGTGAGATAAATTGTTTTCGAGATGAATCGTGAATACATTAAAAGGTGAGCTGCTAATCACAACTCAGACTGGCCTTTAAGCATACCAGTAAGCAAGCGATGGGTGCTCCTTGAGGACTTTAGTGGGAAGAGCGGGCAGCTTCTTTAAGTCAGCTCGGGTGGCTTCATCGCTTGGCAAGGGAAAAGGAAGGAGATGAATGACAGAAAAAGTCCGGTGATTATATGTTCATTCTCAGCGCTACCAACTCACGACCAGATTTTGGTCTTCAAAACTTCGGCTATGAGAAAGCAAGAACTCATTCACCTTTGGATGGTCTTATATAGCCATCATTCTTGCAGTACAAAACAGATCTAAGGCGCCCTAAAAATAGAATTGTTTTTGATGCTTAAGCTTTGTCGGTATTATTTTAAGTGTGATTTATTTTTAAGATTTTTCAACAGACCTCTCAGTATGACACAGTTCTTTTCTACACCACTGTTGTTAAAATTGATATGCATCCAGTGTCATTCAAGACATCAGCATTATTATCTTCATAAAACCAGAATTCTTTTGAGTCAACTCTTGAATTGGATCTCATCAGATTATGCAAGTGTATCTCATTTCATGTAATTATGTGGTGGACTTGAAGCTAGCTGTTTGCTGCTCTTTCCTGGCATGTCAAGTCTCCCCTTTGGGTCTGTCAGTACCATGAGATTCATTAGTAGACGGGTGTGAGCTACTCAGCGCACTATGGTAAGCCTCACATTACATTGCTATTGATTGTTAGTGTCCCCATTGTTGAGAAACAAGTGACCTATTGAACATTTTCGCCAACAGATCGCCCTTAACTTATCGTGCTGCCAGTCAATACTTATCACCCATCTGATAATAACAAGCTCTTACCTTGTGTAGTCTCCTTTAGACTCCTAGTTAAATAAAGAAATAGAAAAAGAACATCTCATTAGGCTTTAGCTTCACTTTAAAGGATGTAACAGATTTGGGTTTTTTTAAGGGCAGTAAAGGCACCAACCTGCAAAGCATTTGCTGCCAATTTAAAGACATTGTCACTCTCAACTTCTATAATCCCCTATGAGACAAAGAAGGATTTTAGATGAACAGATTGCACACGGTGATCCACACTCAAACATTTTCGGATCGACTTCAGTACGTATTAGTCTGTCCTCAGAATAAATCATTTCTTTCTGCTTTCTTACACACATTCCTCCTAGGCGAGTGAAAACTGCCCTGCGGCTGAGAAAAGGCGCTGCCACTTACGTTATAGACAGCAGATTTTGCATTGAGGAAGAATAACTCCACTGTGATGATGTCCTTCAGCTGTGTGATGTTTTCCACATAAAATCTATGAAAGATGAATGCACAAGCATGTAATGTTTTTCATTGAACTTTCTTTCAAGATACATAAAACGGATCCTAGCTGTAGGATGGAGCTATAAAATAATATGTACGTGGTCTGGGTCAAATCTATGGTAACAGTCATATTCATTGTAAAATAGTCATGCCAGAATTGCAGGATAATTTAACCATCAACTATTTTGAAAACTTGACCATTTTATTTTATCTTTTCCCCCTCCGCCTGCCTTTTGTTTTTACAAAATATGGTATACAAAGTAAAAAAAACATTATATAGATTCATCCGTGCTCAGCCATCAGCGGTACTTTTTTTTTTTTTTAGGTATTTTCTTTGTTGGCTCATATATTTTGCTGCGTTTGTCACAGCTTTTCTACAGATTCTTCGACACCTGAAGAACTCCACCCAAAATATTTCTGAGGGAGTCATTTATAGTAAAGTCAAATTCCATTTTATTTAAATGCAAATTGAATGTTAATATCACACTGTTAACAGTAATGGAGTTGCAGGTAGCAGGGTTGTAAATAATGTTCACAAGCGTCTGATAGTGTTAGCTGCTACGATTACTGGTCGAGAACGTAGTTATATACGGTCATAAAAAATTATATACAATAAAGAAAAAAAGTGGATATAGGATGTTTTTTTCTGATATTATGAGTTACAGGATTGTATTCGCTTGAGAGACACACTCCGTTACGACTAAAAAGTAATAAATAGATGTGCAGATTTATTAGGTCTTCCCATGGTCACAGCAATTAGCTTGATGATGCCATTTCTGCTGAGTTATGCAGATCTTTTATTTCCCCCTCTCCATCTAAAGGGCTAAAAATGTTTGAGCTTGTATTTTGGGAGACACAACTTTAGAACGTAATGACTCGGATTTCGACTATGCCTGTTACTAAACAAAATGATTTAACTCTTAGAAGCAAGACGTCACCAAAATCATAATCAACAACGCCTGATTCAAAACCCATTTTATCTGTTACATTTTATTTGTATTTTGGTCAACAAGAATGAGCGACAAAAGGAAAAAGTCATTTTCGGGTGTGCTCAAGAGAATTTGGTGTTTTAATTCATTTAGAAACCACTTTTTTCCATAGCAACAATTACATTTTACCTGCATTTTGTGCCCGAATAACTGTGCGACTTGATGACCTATTCTTACAGCACGAAGTACTTCACAAGAACCACAAGAGTAAACCGAGAACACACTGCACTGTGTTTACTTTGTATCCTATTTTTATTTTGTTCTCCATGCAGCGCTGCACCCTGCTGGAGAGCTTTAGCCCTGCATGTGAAGGTTTCTTGTTACCTGACCAGGAAGTTGAGGGCAATGGAGCCCTGCCTCTTGGAAAAGTCATGATCAAGAACTCTCCGGTCCATCTGCAGCCACTTACACTGACCACTGCAAAAGAAAGCGAGCGTGCTGTCTTTTAAAAATCACCAGCAATAAATATTTAGAGCACTGCAAATACTTAGGTTAGGCCAACGGTTTACATACTTGTCACTGAAAAACGCAAGTCCGAAGAATTCCTTCTCTTTGAGGTTGAAATGGGAAGAGACGAGGTCGACGAGTTCATACGACAGTAGCTTTGGCTGTGGAAGGAGATTTTTTTTTTTTAGATTCAGCGTCAGCTTCCAGAACTGAAGTCTGTTTGCCTCATTCCCTTATAGAAGTGACGAATCTGCAAGCTAAACTCAAAGTGCAGCAGCCTCTGTGACTGATTATGTTGTCTACTAAACATCCTGCGCTGTGCTGGTGCACTGCTTTCAATGCATTTTAATTATTTTTGAAAGGCCCCAACCACAGTGAAATACAGTTGATGTGAGGTGCGCTGAGGGTTTGTGCACAGTCACGTGTGGAATTCTCCACACATCGCTGACCTGGAGCCGCGCCCCTCAGGTTGCATAGTGAGGCTTCTCAGTTATGAAACAAATATTGACCATCTCCGCGTTATTCACACCTGAACCAGCAGCTCCAGCTTCCTGTCATCTAGCAACTGCACTTGACACAGTCGGCCCTCAGTCATCTACAGGGACACAAAAGAGGAAATTGGAGCATGCTTTTCATCTTCATGGGCATCGTTTTTAATTAAAAAAAAAATAAAAAATCTACTGACGAAAATATGTTGACATCACAAAAAAAAAGACACGGATGAGACTAAAGTATTTCACGTCACAGTTGCCATAGTGAACTAATAGCCGAGCGCCAAATGCAGTGATCCTTCTTAAAGAAATACTAACGTCATGAAACGACAATGAAAGCATTGTCCCAAAGATTTGTTGCCATAGTAATTCGTTGAAGGATTTGAGTGACTTCACATTTGGTTTCAAGTCAGTCTTTTTAGCTTTTAATCGAACAAATATATTTCAATAAACAAACATGTTTGCACACATTTCCAACCTGCCCAGCGAACAACTTTTTCAATTGTGATTAAACTGCAGATCTGCTAAATCCAAAGGACTGCAAGTCAATGACATTTGCTCCATTGGGATAATTTTCCTTGCATTGATGCGACAGCACGCTGCTGTGAGTGCATTCAAATTCTCAGTTCAGATGATACATTTACGAGGGCAACATCGAAACGATCTTGGAAAAAAAGAGTGGGTGGATCTGACAGTCCTGTTATCTGACAAAATGAGGCTTATCACTTCTTGTCCGGTTCTATCATAGAGAAGCAAGCGACTCTCATACCTGGTAAAACTCTCCAGGCAGAGCGCAGGAGCGGATGCATTCCTGACTCATCCCTTCATTGCTCTCTTCTTGCGGGGTTCGGAAAAAGCACTGCAGACTCTCTGCATGCAGGCTTCTGGGTTTGCGACGGCTTAGCGGTCACTTCACATGCATTCGGCAGCCGATTTAATTAGGCCAAGGCGGGTCAGACTGCTGCCCACCGTTGCTCAATTTAGTATTGACTGTCTCACAGTATATGTGGATATGTTTCAGGCAGAAATGGAAATATGATGTCTTTCAACATATTAGATTGTTTCTTTTTAATTGCTCACACAGGCCAGACTCCTTGCAACGCTTTTGAATCATTCCATTGCTCTTGGAAGCTCTTATTTCATTATCATTTCAGAATAATGTAATTTGCAAAATTCTCTCTCACAGTCTAAATCAGGGGTTTTAAACTCATTTCACATGGTGGGCCACATACGGCCTCGGTAGATGTCAAGTAGGCCGGACCATTAAAATGATACCATACTTTGCTATAAATAACCAAAACAATATGTCTTTCCTTTGTTTTGGTATAAAGAAGCACAAGAACATTAGGAAAATGTTGAAATTTAATGAACATATCTTTTACAAAACATATCATGAAGCACCTTACATTTCCTTCGACAAACGTGCAATTTACTTTTATCATTCACATATATGCATTGCAACTGATCCCACTGATTGTACAAACTTTAACAAGTAATTGGTATTGAAAAATATAGTAATGCACTTTAAGATTAAACGAGATTTATAAAGAAAGGAAGTTTTAAACCATTTACACGTGCATATAAAATCTAAATGTAATCCCTGCCTACACCTTACAAACTAAGGAGAGTGCTATTGATAGCATCTGCTGTCATGGGTCTGTCTCAGTGACGGACTGAGGCTGCTGTTGTCTTCTTCTCTGATCAAAACAATGTCCCCTTGCGGATACTCAATGAATTGCACCTTATTAAAAATATTAATTCTGTGTCTTTAATGCATTTTTTTCACTTTTAAATTATCCTGTGGGCCTGATTGAACCTCCTTGCGGGCTGGTTCCGGCCCGCGGGCAGTACGTTTGACACCCTGCTTTACATAATCATCTCGTGGGCCGGATTAAACTCCTTTGTGGGCCGGATCCGGCCCGCGCGCCGTATGTTTGACACCATGGTCTAAATGAAAAGCTGTGTGCTCGATAAATTAAAAAAATGGACTATATCTGCATTTTATCATGTTGGTTTATTAAGTTGTGACAGTACTGTACAGGTGGTGCGGTGTTTAACATATCTCTGAACTTAGCATGCAATACACCAGTCTGGCCGCTAGATGTTGCAGTCAATTGTATTCTGCTTGTTTTAGTGAAGAAAGTGGGTGGACTCTTGAAACTTGCACAAGACACTGGGGAAGGGTCTTGAGAGGTTGGAAAACCAAAGCGTGTGTATAAAAAGAGAGGGAGTATGACTTTAAAAGATCTACACAGTTGGTCCGTAAGCGCTTGCAGCCATGCTATTTATATCTGATGGCACGATCCGGACTCGCCCTGCAGCCTATCAGTGGCAGCATAAAGTCGAGCTTCCATATCAACCTGATTCAGACACAAAAATGGTGCTGGCTGGCATTTTAAACTGATCAATACACTGTGATAACAAATAAATGAAAAATTGGCAATTGTGGTTGTCTTCATTTAAGACATTGCCCAATACTGTACACACACCGCAGACAACAACCTACTCAGCTTAAAAAAAAAAGCCTGCAAGGCCTCTAGAGGACAACACTTCAACATTCATTTTAAGATAAAGAAGAGCCAGTAATTGTTTTGTTTTGTTTGTTTTGTTAATCTTTAGAGACATGCAAAACGGACCTTTTCTCTGCTGTTGGATTTACCACAGTTGGCATACCATGTGTGTGTAAGCTTACCTCCGTGCATACCTGTAAACTTCACAGCACAAAAAATGCCCATGTGACATTCATGATGGCTAAAGATAAAGTCTTCAAGCTAGAAAACAAGCAGAAAAATTTAACCTGTCACAATTCAGACCTGTCCAGACATTCGACTGTCTCATCTCAGCTTCCACTTTTCATGCATTATTGATGACAGCTGGTGTTACACCAAACAGTGTTTGTTTTCTTGAAGACACCCAATTGGAGAACACATGATACAAATGGAATGAGCTTGTATTAGAATTAGAGAAATATCAAGAGTGCGATTAACAGCCAACCAATCCAGGGTGTACCCCGCCTTTCACCCAAAGTCAGATAGGATCGGCTCCAGCTCACCTGTGACCCGAATGAGAACAAGCGTGACAGAAAATGCATGCATGGATGTTGCTTGAGGTAGCCACAATCCGGCATGCAAATACAGCTTGGTGGACACCTGACACCGACACACTCCTCTACACAGACAATGATGAATACATCTGAAGGATTTTTGGTCATCACCCTGATCAGACATCTCCACATGGGTCATTTTGTCAGCAGTCAGCAGATAGCTAAGTATCAACCATCACCCAATGTTGCAACCCTGTGATATCCAGGAAAGTGACGTAAGGCTCAAGATGATGTCATTCGAAATTCTATGTGTGACAAAAATGTGGATCTTTGATGCACTAATTGGGGGCGGAGTCACGGCAGTGTGATTCATGCTGATGATGTCGTCATGCTGTGTAACTTCTTCCAGACCTGAAAAGGACGTCCTCAGGGACGCGGGGACATTCAACTGTATTTTCATTGTATTTGCACTACAAAAACTGGAAAAGTCTGTAACCGTCCGATCTGCTCCCGTGAGCAAAACTGGCACACTGAAACAGACACTAAGGTGACATTTATTTGGCAATTTTACCACGTGCCCAAATGATTCAGTATTTCAAAGTAAACTGATAAACTGATGTCATATGCACCCTCAAGTTAATGTTGTACCTCTTGTTCACTTTCCAAGGCATCTAAATATTTGAACACAAAGACCCAGAGGCTTCATAATTCCTTGGCCTCTGTCATTATACCAACACCCACTAAAATTGAAATGGAGTTACAGAACCAGAGCTGCATCTTTACCTGAAGAAGGGCAATACATGATTTTTATTGGATTGTAACTTCTTTTTTTCTTTTTTTTTCTTTTTCGAGGCAGCGCAGTGGTTTCCCCATCTCCCTCACAGTTCTTGCCATTGAATCTCAGCGACAAGTTCCTGTCTTGAGTTTGCAAGTTCTCCCCGTGCTTGTATCTCCCGCTACTCCAACTTCCTCCCACATTCCATAATCATGCTTGTTAGGTTTATTCAAGACTCCTTAGTTAGGAATGTACAGTACATGTGCCCTGTTATTGATAATATCACACCTCTCGTCCAAAGTCAGCCACAGATCTCGGATAGATGGATGGAATTTTGATCTGAGTTGGGTGCTAAACGGACTCAAAGCAAATACATGAATGATGGTGGAGAAATAACTGGGTCATTTCTGGTTTGTAATCATCTTGGGACTTTGTCGATGTACTGCACCGTGTCCTATTGTGTGCTGGCATCTGCCTTTGTAGCCCAAAGGTAGCATTGCATTTCCACAAATCCAGTTGTGAAGCAGTTTCAGACAGCAGTTGTGTGCTATAACGGTGCAGTTGGCTCAAATGCTGCCTCTAAAAATTGGGTACGAAGCATAATTGAAGACATGCTGAAGTGAGCCCTTGCCATCGCTCGCAGAATGACAGTCCCTGGCAGCACCAATGACAGAGGCCCTTGCACACTACTGCAGGGGCTTTCTGCAGAGCCTTTCGCCTAGTAGAAATTATATCAGGAAAACAATGCGATATCCCCTTCATTAGAAGTTATCCTTTTCTGTATTGATTATCAGGAGAGCTTGCATCAAAAGTTAATCATTGTTTCCCCCTATGTGGTCTTTCACCAAAGATCATTTTCCGAAAGGCTATTACCACACTATATCTTCCATACATACAGTAAGAGGTAGGCTCAAGCTTCAGTTCACATATACCCGTTTGAGTCTTACAGACATTTTTAGAAAATTTCCAGGCACTATGATTCTGAAAAAGAGGTTTGCTAATGTTTTCAAACAGCCAAAAGATAGAAGAGCCTGCCTGATCCTCCCTTCTTTGCAGGCCTTGTACACTGTCCAACAAAGATGTGCAATGAAAGGTGACATCCAATGAAGCGAATTTTCTTTTACGACTCGTTATTTATGGATCTTTGAAAGAAATGCCTCCAAATGTCCACGTTGTTGATAAATGACGCAGGACATCCGCTGCAACAAATAGGAAGCACGACAAAGTTGGACATGTGTGTCCATGGGACCCAACCACCAAAGCAAGACATCCTGTTTATGATCCCTTTAAATACATGCAGACGGAGCTTTTCCTCTGAGATAACGATGTCTAACTTGGACTTGTCTACCGTTTTTAACCTGCAAATAAAACTCTTTCACCACATGAATACAGGATGTGTGTCCATGTAATTCAATACCACTATAATAATTGTCATTTTTATATCATTGTGCAATTTCACGTTTTGAAATTTGAATTATGCATCCAAACACAAAGTGTTCAGTATTTAACTGAGTGCTGGAAAGTGAACCCTGTCAAACTGATGATTCATGTACCATTTTTTATATTCGCCAAGTCACACTGCCAATATGACTGCATTAAATAGCACTCTGGCTCAGTTGAGCAAAAATTGTTCTCACATCCTAAATAGTGGCCTATATGTGCTTTATCCACCTCCATCAGGATCACAGTGTGGGGATTGGCCCAGCTCAGGGCCATTGAGAGAACAATGCATTTGTGTGAAAGTCTATGGGTGGTTTCCACCTGTGCTCTTGCCTCAAAACACATATGTCAAATGAATGATTTCTTTCTTTTTTTCCCCACTGCGAGCAACACGCGTGTCTCCGGTGGAGGCGGCAAACCCAAACCCACGTCCCTTAACGGGTCCTACTTTTTTGTCTCCTCGAAGCCCGGGACAGAAGCGGCGTGTATCAGCTCCACGATCTCAACATGTATCTTCTTACCTTTGCGTTTAAATGTCCTTAAGAATAGAAAAGATGGAGCTTCCCCCGCATGCCGGTTGCTCCCGATCAGCCGTCTCGCCGGTTGCGCTCGCCGTGAAAGGGAGTCGCCCCACAGCCGCTGCCCATGCTCATCCCCTCAGTGTGTTGCTGTTGCTGCTAATACTGAACGCGCCTCGTATCGAGCCACACGCACCACGCCTTCAACCGCCGGCTATTATGCGAACAAGCATAGCACCCACCTCCCTCCATCTACCTCCATCCCTCCTCCGACCCCCCGCACCCCCATTCAGCAGCTGCCGGCCGGCCTGCTTCCCAATGAATGGTCTCAAGTGAGGCGAGCAAGAGGATGCATGTGCTCCGCAGCCCTCATTATGAGGACTGACATCATTTAGGATTACTGTACCTCCCCCACACACACTACTGAAACGCTCTCATACATACTGTACTAAAAAACTCGTGCACAATAGAGAGTGTTTTTATTTATTTATTTTGCTCACACGCAACCGAAACAATCTCACACTCCCCTATACGTCATGCTATTTTCTAAAGCTGCCTTTTACACTTACTGGATATTTCGTTATACCTGTATAGCCTACATATGCACAGCACAGGCCAATCAGGCCCACGGGAGCTGTACCAAAAGGTTGCACTTGCAAGTACAGTATTGTGATATTATCTTGATAATTCTTGTTGTGTTTAAGGAGTAAAGCAGCATAGAATTCCACTGCATCATGAGAAATGTTATTTTGACACTTTCATGTGGTTATATAACTAGAATATTGTCCACCCATCCATTATCCGAGCTGCGTATCCTCACGAGGGTCTTGGGCGTGTTGGAACCTTTTCCAACAGTCTTCGGGCAGTAAGTGGGGTATACCCTGAACTGGTTGCCTGCAGCCAATTGCAGGGCACACACATCGACAAACAACCATTTAGACTCACAATCACACCGAGGAACAATTTAGAGAATTCCATTAATCTACCGTCCATGTTTTTGGAATGTGGGAGGAAACCAGAGTACTTGAAGAAAACCCACGCATGCATGGGGAGAACATGCAAACACCACACAGGAGGGCCAGACCTCTGCACTGTGAGGTGGACGTGGTAACCAGTCGTCCACCACGCTACCCTATCAGAAATTACAATCACAATCATAAACATATGGTAATACATGTCTAACTGTATTTTAAGTCTGGGCATTACTGTAAAATATATTATTTTTGCACTTTTTAACTGTACAGATTGTCAACTATTGGATCCCATTGTACAGTGTCTAAAACAGACACAGAGTGCATACAATTAAAATAATGAAAGTAATATTAAATAGGCTTTTATTTATATATATCTATATATCTATATATATACACATGTGTGTTTTGTGTGTGTGTGTGAGAAAGGTTATCTAAAGCTACGGTTGCTAGCATTCCTTGAGAACTTGCTGTACAAATGATGCTGATAGACGTACAGAATTGGGATTTGACATCTCAGACAAAGCGCATCTAGACTATTGTCCACTTGGAGTTGCCAGACCATTTAGAGTTGCGGGGTCATGTAGAAATCTACTCTCTCCCCTTGATGAAAAATACCAGTAGGCCACAGAGTCACTGAGCCAGTGGTTCTTAACCTTATTAGAGGTATCGAACCCAACCAGTTCATATGCAAATTCATCGAACCCTTCATTACTGAAAAATAAAAATTCAAGAGGTGTTCCTTCAGTTTTGCCGGTGCAAGGCTAGATTTGCTCAACTTGGCAAAACAAATGATGCAATAGGATGTTGAGACCAATCACATTCCATGATGCATACGAATCCATGTGGTACATATTTGTCCGACCACTTTGTTTTTTTGGGGTTTTTTTTGCTCGACATAGTTAGCATGTATTAAAACATTCTAAAAAAAAATGACACGACGTACTCTCATGACAGTCACACGTTGACTACTATGCGAACTCAATTTCCCGCAGCACTGATTGGACAAGCAATGTAATGTGATCATCTGCAGCCAGTGATGGCCAAGCGGGCGTGTCATAACTAATTGACATGGGTCTGTCGGGTGTGTCTTAACCTCCATGACAGAGGCTGCGTCGAACCCCTGAGACGATTCACCGAACCCCTGGCGTTCGATCGAACCCAGGTTAAGAACCACTGCACTAAGCCAATGCTGTTTTGTAATGCAATGTCAATAAAAGTACAGTAATCATGTCATATGTTGAATATTGAAGAAATCTTTAGATGACCAAAATATAATAAAAATCATTATCTTTAACCAAAATGGGAGACATGGCTTCAAATTTACAGCATAAAATGCATTCATTCTCGTTGGGGTAATTTTTGTTCTCACTCATGGAAAAGTGTAGGTATAGGTGGGTCATGCATCTCGGGGTTAAGATTGTTGGAGTTTGTTTCCCATTTGGTGGCCTGAAAACAAGGTGCTAAGGCTGCTAAAATATTCATGACAATCTATTACAAATACTCCACAGGTCATTTTCGTGTTGCTTCAGTGAAGTCACAAAAACACAATTTGGGCTAATGTAGCAGATAACTTCCATATCACAAGACAACAGTGCAGCTATACTGTATGCAGAGAGCCTTTATGCTGACTGGTGCTTCCTCGCCCCCCAGCCCCCACCCCCCCTTGCTCTTGGCATTGTGATATCAGACATGAATAATTATCTCATTAAGATCCCCCAGAACCATCTGTCCAGTCAGTCTCCTCCTAGAACACGCTTATCAACAAAAGACCCTCATTACCCTCGTTACCCTCATTAGGAATTTAAGCTTTTGCCACATTCTAAAACGACAACTGTGAGTGTGCCATATCATGTTTTTCAAAATACATATGACTGAGTACTTCACAATTCAGTTTCACTTATATTCCGATGTGTCTGAAAACATTTTATATAGCCTATGTTCGGTGATCTTTGTCATTGTTATGAGGTAGAACTCTACCATTGGGATTTCAGCAAGTTTTCCCCTTGTGGCATCTTGACAGAGTTTTGTCCCCACCAAGACATTAGGGAAATCAGTAGTATTTTTTTCTTGTGCTTGCTTAAGGTTTTGTCACTTTGTGCCACTTCCACACGAGGAAAAAGAAGCGCTGACTTCACAAACGAATCCAGACGATCCCCCAAAATAAGTACCGGTAAGTAAATACATAAATAAATAAACGAATAAATAAACAGATCCCAGATGTTTGCTGCTGTGACATTCAAAAAAGAGGGAGTGCTCTCCATCTGTCATTTCATAAACAAACGTGTTGAACAACTTTAACGCTGCAAAACACCCGTATCCTGAAGCTGTCTTCTTTTGCCTTCTCGGGTCCTGGTTTGACAGTGACACACAAAAAGTACTCCAAGTAATTATCTCTTAGCTATATTCAGTTTAAGGAGCTTTCGTGACACCAGCCTCTCTCTTCACACCTGAATAGGAGTGTCTACCTTGCGTTGTTTGTTTAATTTCAGCTCATTCGTCAGCCATGTTTGCTCGTTTGTCACCGCTCATTAATACTGTGCAAACAATGTTTCAATTTCATTACTGTCAACAGAAAAAGCTGTATGTAAAGCATGGGATTATGGGGCAAAGTAGCTGCAAGCATACGAGCAACATATTCAATATGGCTGTCAGAAGCACATACTGTATTTTGATTTCAGGACTGTTTTTTATTGTGTGATTTATTCTGAGGCAGCCAATAAAATATGAATTATTTCAAATGTATGTATAGTTTTCCCCTTGGAGCACATTACAAAGGGCTTTGCAAGTATGGGGGCCTCCCTCAATTGGTGACTTTGGGTAATGAGTGCCTCTATTCATCAACAACAAATGCGTCTATGTGTGCCTGTCAACCGTGGCTGGATAATAATAACCTTACATGTCGTTAAGTGGCAGGGGCGTCACTAGGTTTGAAGAATAAGGGGGGCTTAGCCCCAAGGGGAACACAGCCCCTTTAGGGGGGTACGGGGGCATGCCCCCCCGGGAGAAATTTTTTCTACATTCTGTTAAAAATCCATCAATTCCGTGCACTTTGAGAGCAAAATGAAGAGGCTATGAAGAACGACACACATCACATTAGTATCCTCTTTACTATGATGGGGCTTCCTCCCCTGGACTTTAACTGGACTAGATAATAGAAATTATAAAGAGTTCAAAAGTTCAATCTTGGTTGTTCAAGGGAATTAGAAGGATGCCCGATAACAAAACCTATATGACAGTAGGCCTATATTCCTCTCGACCAAAATGTATTAATATATGCTTAGCCCCCAGAAGACTATGTATTTTGAGATGTCTGCCGCGATATGCAATTTAAGTTAGTACAATGAGATGCAAAAGCTTCATCACTTTGGAAAAACACAAGTTTGCTGCCCAATACTTACTGTAAGCTCCGATTGCATTTTGGGAACAGCCTTGCAAG